GTAATCCTTGAAAGGCCTGGTTTAGGACTATCTGATAGAATTTTCTGCAATGTTGGCAATGTTTTATATCTGCATTGTCCAATATGGTAGCCATCAGTCATATTAAGCACTTGAAATAGGATCAGTGTGACTGAAGAACTGAATTTTTACTTTTATTTAAGTTTAATTGTTTTTAATTTAAAAGTAAATAGGAAACTGAGTGACAGGCTGTGACTCTCCCTTTGGGCAACTCAAATCATTTTTATTCCCACCAGTTCTAGATTTTTTTTTTTTTTTTTGATTGTTGGGTTCACACATAATTATTTGAAGCTAGTCTTCAGTCTCTGCAAGGACCACACTGTTTCTAGGTCACACCTCCCCCTAGGATTTAGTCCTTCATTGCCCTAACTTAAAGCAAGTTTATCAGGAATCCCCTTCTCTGGTGCACCCTGGACTCTTGGCCCCTAGACTAGCAAGGTTGTCAGAATCTTTGCTCAGCATCTCAGCCTCTCTGCCACTTCTGGAGTTAGCAGGTAGCCCTAGGGGAAAAGACACCCAAATGTTGCAAGATCCCCTTTGATTTCCTTCTTTTTCCAAATCTTAGCCCCCTAATTTCTCACAGCTTGTTAGTTCCCAGATGCCTTAAAGAAAATTGTTTTTAATATATATATTTTGTCTGGATTTTCTAGCATATACTCAAGGGAGAGTTGGCCCACATTATTTAGTCTGCAATACCATAAACCTTTCCATTTATTTTGGCCAGGTGCCTAGGGGCACTCAGTATGGAACCATTTTAAACTAAACTAAACTAGCTGGATATTCTCTGAGCCACGCAGATGATACAAATTTGGGCTACAATTTTGCAAGAGGACCAGTCTGCCCTCCCCCTTTCCTTCTTTTCATTCCAAGGTAGTTTTCCCCTAGCTGTGGGATGAGGAGCATGGGTTTAGTGCTAGTTCTCGCTCTCCTGAGTGTATATCTCTTTAGGATCTTACATTCGTGTAGGGGGTCTCCAATTACATGCTGTTTCAACAAGATCAGCAAGTGTCTGAAAGGCAAATGTGGCTTCTTCTTTTTTTTTTTTTTTTTTTTAAAGATTTTATTTATTTGACAGAGAGAGATACAGCGAGAGAGGGAACACAAGCAGCGGGAGTGGGAGAGGGAGAAGCAGGCTTCCCGCGGAGCAGGGAGCCCGATGCGGGGCTCGATCCCAGGACCCTGGGATCATGACCTGAGCCGAAGGCAGACGCTCAACGACTGAGCCACCCAGGCGCCCCTTTTTTTTGTTTTGTTTTGTTTTGTTTTTTTAAAGATTTTATTTATTTATTTGAGAGAGAGAATGAAAGAGAGAGAGCATGAGAGGGGGGAGGGTCAGAGGGAGAAGCAGACCCCCTGCCGAGCAGGGAGCCCGATGCGGGACTCGATCCTGGGACTCCAGGATCATGACCTGAGCGGAAGGCAGTCGCTTAACCAACTGAGCCACCCAGGCGCCCCAAATGTGGCTTCTTATGCTTGGTTTCTGTCTCTGGATTTTTAGATTTTGGCATACTATTGCTTTACTGTCTTCACATCTCTTACATGTTTTTAAATGAATCTTTTTTCTTTTTAGGTTTTATTCATCATTTTAGTTGTTTTCAGTGGGAAGCCTTGCATAAAGTAGGGCAAGGCTCCACCACTAGGTATTTCTATGTCCTTATATATAAGATGGGGAGAATAAATGTACTCCTACTTACATCAGAGTATCAACTGAAATAATTGTGCTTTGAAAGCTGTGAGGCTCCAAACAAGTATTACTATTATTCTCTTCCCACTTGTGTGTCCACACTCAAAATGCTCTGTGGATTCCTCTTCTTCTGCAGCCTCTTCAGTGTTGATAGTCCTCAGTTGTCCACTCTCAACCCACTGTTTTTCTTAATTTTTATAATCTTTCTTCATGGTTTCATCCTTTCCCAAGTCTTCTTTATATCTCTACTTCACATCCATCTTCTAAACTATGAGCCCATATATTTTACCTAATCATACCAAAGTCATCACACACATGCCGATGCCGAGATCTCTTCCTCCTGTGTCGCTGGCCTCAGTGACGGGAGCTACTCTCCATCAACTGTGCAGTTGTCCAAGTGAGAAATGTGGGCATCAGCCTGTGTTCTTCCCTCCCTCACCCTGTACATCCATTCAGTCACCAGAGGCTATGAATTGTGCTTCCTAAATGTTTCTCAAACTTGGCCCTTTCTGTTCCCTCCTGTTTAGTCTGGCTGTAGCACATCAACACAGCCCGTGCTACTTGGGATACAGCTAAGGACCTGTCACATTTTTCTTTCTCTTTATCATCTTTACCATCAGCCAGAGGGATGTTTCTAAAAGGCACCTCTGATTCTATCACTGCCCTGCTTAAAGTCCTTCAGCAGCTTCCCGGCGTTCTAAAGATAAACACCATTAACATTGATCACAGGGCTTTTCATGACCTGACTCTGCCTGCTTCTGCATCCTCTTTTCTCTTCACTTTTTTCCATTTCACCACATACCTCATCTATTCTGAACTATTTGTGTCTCCATTTCTGGATAGATCACATGATTATGTCTGGGTGAGTTAGGGGGATCATATCTGACCTACTCCATCATCAGCCTGCCCTACTGTTTGGATCAGCATCTGAGACTTTGGGTCTCCCATGAGGCCTATTCCCTGTCTCCCTTGGACGGCACAGGTCCCCCCTCTCAGGCTTGACCTGCACAGAGCAGAGGGGGATGGTTACCTTCTTTTTTCTAACCACTGTTTTCCTCAAAATGTCACCTAAAGGAGCACCAGCTTTTTTAGCAGCCACATCATAAATCTTCTTTTACACAAGTGAGTTGGGAAGCTACGTCCGTCTCCCTCATTCTATTTTACATGGTGGGTTTTCTATATCTTATCACAGAAGCTGACCTAACATTTTCATGGACATTAGAGCTTGCTAAATTTCATCTGTTTTACTGCAGCTCTTTGTCTAGCCTGGTCAGCAATATTTTTAGCCTCATGCAAAGTCTTACCATGTAAAATAAAAGAAATCCTCTTTCATCGTGTAGATAGAGGAACTGACCAGGACCAGAGATGCTCAACACCAGCTAGAAGTCACCCAGCAAGCCAAGCAGCAGCAGCACCAGAACCAGAGCCCAGGGCTGCTGACCCGCATTCCCAAGCTTCTTTTTTTTTTTAAAGATTTTATTTATTTATTCATTAGAGACAGAGAGAGAGGCAGAGGGAGAAGCAGGCTTCCCGCAGAGCAGGGAGCCCGATGCGGGACTTGATCCCAGGACCCCGAGATCATGACCTGAGCCGAAGGCCAACACCCAACCATCTGAGCCCCCCAGGCGCCCCCCAGGCTTCTTCTAATATGGCACACCAGTTCCCATTCCTGAATCCAGTCACTGGGGCACATACTCTTAGCTTCTAAACAAATTAGTCAAATCCGTCATTTTTAAATGGTATTAATTCCTTTTGCCAAGAGAAGGTATGATAAAAATAGCACCACTCTGAACACCTGGAAACCTCAGCCTCTCCATACTAATAGACTCCTGCCACTTCAAAGAGCTCTTCTCCCAAAACTGCCCTGGGAAGGACCCAGTGGGAGAGCCTGATGCTTTCCTCTGAAGCCTTGCATCTTGTCCTCCTTACCCACCTATTGACTGCCCCCCTATTTTAAGACATCAGTTTTAGAGACAAAGTGAAGTTTTTTATATGTTATAATTAGGGTGAAACTTTTAAAAGGCAAACCACTGTAACTTGTCACAAGAGACAGGACAGAGCCAGCTTCTCCATTATCGGGTATAAGAGAAATTTTTTGAAGGCTTATTTTTTAGCTCTTTCATATCTGACTGGAGTAAAAAGATTGGTCAATTAATTATAAATCAGCAGAGCTGCTGTGCACCCTCCTGTAATTGCTCTCAGGTAGAAATTAAAAATTTAGTGCATGAAAGTTGGTCCTTTCAGGAGAGGAAAAGAATCATCTGTGACCTTCAAATACCATGAACTAAAGGCTTCTTCTTTCCTTCTCGGTTGAGTGTGTTGAGTGTTTATTTGGGTGTATGGAGGGGAGAGAGTTGGAGGGAGGAATGAAAACATGATTTGAGTCATCTGCCTTTGTGTACTTAAAAAGAATTACCTAGGGGCGCCTGACTGGCTCAACCGGTAGAGCATATGACTCTTGATCTTGGGGTTGTAGGTTCGAGCCCCGTGTTGGGTGTAGAGATTACTTAAAAACACAAAATCTTAAAAAAAAAAAAAAAAAGATTGAAAAAAATAAAGAATTACCTAGGTCTCATCCACCTGGGCACATAAATGAGGCCACGTAATGGTAGTACCTAAAATGCCACCACTTCCTGCTCCACCTGTGTGATTCAGGATCTCAGCCCATTAAATTCCACTCTCAGGTGTTTCTGGGACTCCCCAGAGAGTTTGAGTTTTAAAAGAGAATTCTCAACTCCTTACTGATGTGTGCATTTTATTAAGTCTCTTTAGAGGAGAATCTCACTGTGACCAGCCTACCTTACCCTACGTGAATCAAGGCTGTGGTCCCTGCCAAGGGCTCTGTCTCCTGATGCTCCTATGGTTACCAGTCCTTGGGGTGATGCAGCATACCCAGGAGTCTGACCTGAACAAAAATTGTGCAGTATTCTTTCTGCAGAATGTTTTCCCTCAACTTGGTCATGCCTCATTCATTCTGGTATTTTCCATGAGCATTACTAGTGCCCCCCATCCTGCCCCAACCCAGTCTCACTGAGTCCATCTGTGAATGTGTGCAGCCTTTCTCCATACAGAAGACTGATGTATGAGTGGGATTCGGGGAAGGGATCAGTTGGGGAGGGACCTTCTGGTCCCTCTCTGCAGGGACGTCTCAGGGGCACTAGAGAAGTTCCCAAGCTGGTTATGCCTCTTGATTGATTCCCTGTCCTCCATCTCTATTCCTATCCCCATTCCTACTTCCTGGGGATGGTGGAGTTTGTCCCCTGCCCTTGCTCATTACCCAGGATCCTTGCACTCGCAGGGAAGCATCTGTGACGTCACTGACAAGCAGGAGGTACATCCTGAGGTTCCCAGCGCTGGAGACACTGATGCTGGATGACAACAAGCTCTCCAGCCCCAATTGCTTTGCCAGCCTGGCCGGGCTCAGAAGGTAAAGCCACCATCTCCTCTCTGCAGGACCCCCAGCCTGGCCCACACCCTAGTGCTGCTCTGGAATCCAGAAGGCCGGGGTTTAAATCCCAGCTCCACCACTTATCTCTGCTGTGTGGCCATGGGTGATTAACTTCTCCCCTCTGAGCTTTAGCTCAGCCATAAAAGTGGGGCATCAGTAGGACATTTCTGATCAAGTGACTGGATTAGAAGTGGCAAAGAGAAAGGAGGGTAAAAGGAGATATTACCAGAGATAGGCTCCTGACCCCTGATATAGGGGACAGAAAAAAAAAAAAATGGAATCAGAAAGATAAGGTTAACTGCTGAATTCTACCTATTTGATTAAAGTAATGAAAATGCTGGCATTTAAATGGTTAAGCTTTAGATCCCTGGAAAATTTACTTTGGATTCAGCTACCATTTACTGAATACTACTTTGTGGTGGGCCATTTACATTGTCTTATTAATCTTCATAGGAACCTTGAAAGGTTAATGAATATTATCCCCATTTTAGAGATAGGGATATTGAGGCCCAGAGAGGGTAAGTCACTGGCTAAAGGTCACACCAGAAGAGTAAGTGTCCAAGTGTGAATCCATGTTTTTTCCCTAAAGTTGTTTGGTAAATGCCGCAGAGGTATCATTATTGCTGTGATTCTGTATTCCCTTTCCTTAATTGAAGACTGAAGAAGTTAAGCCTGGACCAAAACAGGATTTTCCGGATCCCGTACCTACAGCAGTTTCAGCACCGAGACGGGTCAGGGGACTGGGTTGGAGGCAGGGGGAGTCCCCAGAAAGAGCCCCATTCCATGAGACAGCCCAAGCCGTGGATGTTTGAGGTCTCAGACGAGCAACCAGATTATACTGTACTGCCCATGAAAAAGGATGTTGACCGGACAGGTGAGTGATGCCCCTTGTTCCAGAGACTCAAGCCCCATGGTGGGAATAAGCTTCTGAGAGCTTATTCTGAAGGTCTGTAGCTCCCTGAGGAGCTGCTGCGCTGAAGCTGCTCGGCCTGGAAAGGTGGAGGTCTCCCATGAATTATTTCAATGACTTCCTAACTGATTCTCTGTTAAGATACTTTTAAAATCCAATTAAAAGTAGATTTTTAAAAATCTCAAATAACAAGAAACTCAGAAGTAAGACTTTCCAGAGATGGCTAATTCTGGGGTGCATTGATATTCTTAAGGGAGTCAGGTTCTTTCCATCCTCTTTTCTGCCATCCTTGGCCTGCTTGCTTGTCCTTGTAGGCTGGTTCCCATTGAGGTCTCAAGATGACTACCATGGTGCCAAGAACTGTATCCAAATGGCAACTTTAGAGGCAGAAAAGGAAAGGAATGTCACCTTTATTATAAACCAAAATCTCTATTACATGAGTATATTTCTTATATATTCTGCTTTACTGATCTAGTTATCTATTACTATTTTCTTAATATTTATTTTAAATTGAGAAATAACCAACATAAAGTAAAAATATAGAAATATTGTGTACAGCTTGAATTGTTACATACATACATACATCCTTCTAACCACTACCCATATTACAATATAGAACATTTCCAGCATCCCATGTGGTATCCTCCTGATTAGTACCTCCTCCAAGAATAATCACCACTCTGACTTCTATCACCAGCTATAGGTTTTGCCTGATTTGAAATTTATGAATACTGAACTATTCAGCATGTGCTCTTTTTTGTCAGATTTATTTCACTCAATATTATGTCTGTCCGATTCATTCATGTTGTTGCATATATTGGTAGTTCACTATTTTTCATTTCTCTTATGTATTTTCCAAGTTATTTATCCTTCTTACTGTTGATAGACATTTTGGTTGTTTTTAGTTTGAGGCTATTATGGATAAAGCTACTATGAATATTCTTTTACCTCTTTTGGTGGACTTAAGCACTCGTTTCTATTGGGTATATACCCAGGAATGGAATTGTTGTGTCTTAGAGTATAAAAGTATGTTTAACATTAGTAAAAACTGCCAAGTATTTTTCCAGTGCAGTTGTACAGTTTTGATCCCCATATTAATGTAAGAGATTTCATTTCCAGTTGTTTATCCTCATAAACACTTGGTAATGTCAGTCTTTTTTTTATTATTATTATGTTATGTTAATCACCATACATCATTAGTTTTTGATGTAGTGTTCCATGATTCATTGTTTGCGTATAACACCCAGTGCTCCTTGCAGAACGTGCCCTCTTTAATACCCATCACGAGGCTAACGCATCCCCCCACCCCCCCTCCCCTCTAGAACCCTCAGTTTGTTTCTCAGAGTCCATAGTCTCTCATGGTTCGTCTCCCCCTCTGACTTCCCCCCCTTCATTCTTCCCTTCCTGCTATCTTCTTTTTTTTTTTTTTTTAACATATAATGTATTATTTGTTTCAGAGGTACAGGTCTATGATTCAACAGTCTTACACAATTCACAGCACTCACCATAGCACATACCCTCCCCAATGTCATCACCCAGCCACCCCATCCCTCCCACCCCCCACCACTCCAGCAACCCTCAGTTTCTTTCCTGAGATTAAGAATTCCTCATACAGTGAGATCATATGATACATGTCTTTCTCTGATTGACTTATTTCGCTCAGCATAATACCCTCCAGTTCCATCCACGTCACTGGAAATGGCAAGATTTCATTCCTTTTGATGGCTGCATAATATTCCATTGTGTGTGTGTGCGCGCGCGTGTGTGTATGTGTGTGTATATATATATATCCATCACAAGGCTAACCCATCCCCCCACCCGCCTCCCCTCTAGAACTCTCAGTTTGTTTATTCAGGTTCTTCCATCCTCTTTATCCATTCATCTGTCGATGGACATCTTGGCTCTTTCCATAGTTAGGCTATTGTGGACATTGCTGCTATAAACATCAGGGTACACGTATCCTTCGGATCCCTACATTTGTATCTTTGGGGTAAATACCCAGTAGTGCAATTGCTGAATCGTATGGTAGCTCTATTTTCAACTTTTTGAGGAACCTCCATACTGTTTTCTAGAGTGGCTGCACCAGCTTGCATTCCCACCAACAGTGTAGGTTCCCCTTTCTCCTCATCCTCGCCAACATCTGTCATTTCCTGACTTGTTAATTTTAGCCATTCTGACTGATGTGAGGTGGTATCTCATTGAGGTTTTGATTTGGATTTCCCTGATGCCGAGCGATGTTGAGCACTTTTTCATGTGTCTGTTGACCATTTGGATGTCTTCTTTGGAAAAATGTCTGTTCATGTCTTCTGCCCATTTCTTGATTGGATCATTTGTTCTTTGGGTGTTGAGTTTGATAAGTTCTTTATAGATTTTAGATACTAGTCCTTTATCTGATATGTCATTTGCAAATATCTTCTCCCAGTCTGTCGGTTGTCTTTTGGTTTTGTTGACTGTTTCTTTTGCTGTGCAAAAACTTTTTATCTTGATGAAGTCCCAATAGTTCATTTTTGCCCTTGCTTCCCTTGCCTTTGGTGATATTTCTAGGAAGAAGTTGCTGCAGCTGAGGTGGAAGAGGTTGCTGCCTGTGTTCTCCTTTAGCATTTTGACAAACTCCTGGCTCACATTTAGGTCTTTCAACCATTTTGAGTCTATTTTTGTGTGTGGTGTAAGGAAATGGTCCAGTTTCATTCTTGTGCATGTGGCTGTCCAATTTTCCCAACACCATTTGTTGAAGAGACTGTCTTTTTTCCACTGGACATTCTTTCCTGCTTTGTCGAAGATTAGTTGACCATAGAGTTGAGGGTCCATTTCTGGGCTCTCTATTCTGTTCCATTGATCTATATGTCTGTTTTTGTGCCAGTACCATACTGTCTTGGTGATTACAGCTTTGTAATAGAGCTTGAATTCCTGTATGAGTCCTAGCAGTTTTGGGGTGGAGTCTTTTGGGTTTTCCCCATAAAGTATCATATCATCTGCAAAGAGTGAGAGTTTGACTTCTTCTTTACCGATTTGGATGCCTTTTATTTCTTTTTGTTGTCTGATTGCTGTGGCTAGGACTTCTAATACTATGTTGAATAGCAGTGGTGATAGTGGACATCCCTGTCGTGTTCTTGACCTTAGGGGGGAAGCTCTCAGTTTTTCCCCATTGAGAATGATACTCGCTGTGGGTTTTTCATAGATGGCTTTTATGATATTGAGGTATGTACCCTCTATCCCTATACTCTGAAGAGTTTTGATCAAGAAAGGATGCTGTACTTTGTCAAATGCTTTTTCTGCATCTATTGAGAGGATCATATGGTTCTTGTTCTTTCTTTTATTTTTTTTATTTTTATTTTTATTTTTTTTAAGATTTTATTTATTCATTTGAGACGGAGATACAGAGAGAGAGAGGGCATGAGCAGGGAGAGAGGCAGAGGGAGAGGGAGAAGCAGGCTCCCCACTGAGCCAGGAGCCCGATGTGGGGCTCGATCCCAGGACCCTGGGATCATGACCTGAGCCGAAGGCAGACGCTTAACCATCTGAGCCACCCAGGCGCCCCATTGTTCTTTCTTTTATTAATGTATTGTATCACACTGATTGATTTGCGGATGTTGAACCAACCTTGCAGCCCAGGTATAAATCCCCCTTGGTCGTGGTGAATAATCCTTTTAATGTACTGTTGGATCCTTTTGGCTAGTATTTTGGTGAGAATTTTTGTACCCATGTTCATCAAGGATATTGGTCTGTAATTCTCCTTTTTCATGGGGTCTTTGTCTTGTTTTGGGATCAAGGTAATGGTGGCCTCATAAAACAAGTTTGGAAGTTTTCCTTCCATTTCTATTTTTTGGAACAGTTTCAGAACAATAGATATTAATTCTTCTTTAAATGTTTGGTAGAATTTCCCTGGGAAGCCATCTGGCCCTGGGCTTTTGTTTGTTGGGAGATTTTTGGTTACTGCTTCAATTTCCTTAGTGGTTATAGGTCTGTTCAGGTTTTCTATTTCTTCCTGGTTCAGTTTTGGTATTTGATGCATCTCTAGGAATGCATCCATTTCTTCCAGATTATCTAATTTGCTGGTATAGAGTTGCTCATAATATGTTCTTATAATTGTCTGTATTTCTTTGGTGTTGGTTGTGATCTCTCCTCTTTCATTCATGATTTTATTTATTTGGATCCTCTCTCTTTTCTTTTTGATAAGTCTGGCCAGGGGTTTATCAATCTTGTTAATTCTTTCAAAGAACCAGCTCCTAGTTTCGTTGATCTGTTTTATTGTTCTTTTGGTTTCTATTTCATTGATTTCTGCTCTGATCTTTATTATTTCTCTTCTCCTGCTGGGTTTAGGCTTTATTTGCTGTTCTTTCTCCAGCTCCTTTAGGTGTAGGGTTAGGTTGTGTATTTGAGACCTTTCTTGTTTCTTGAGAAAGGCTTGTATTGCTATATACTTTCCTCTTAGGACTGCTTTTGCTGGATCCCAAAGATTTTGAACAGTTGTGTTTTCATTTTCATTTGTTTCCATGAATTTTTAAAATTCTTCTTTAATTTCCTGGTTGACCCATTCATTCTTTAGTAGGATGCTCTTTAGCCTCCATGTATTTGAGTTCCTTCCGACTTTCCTCTTGTGATTGAGGTCTAGTTTCAAAGCATTGTCTGAAAATATGCAGGGAATGATCCCAATCTTTTGGTACCGGTTGGGACCTGATTTGTGACCTAGGATGTGATCTATTCTGGAGAATGTTCCATGGGCACTAGAGAAGAATGTGTATTCTGTTGCTTTGGGATGGAATGTTCTGAATATATCTGTGAAGTCCATTTGATCCAGTGTGTCATTTAAAGTCTTTATTTCCTTGTTGATCTTTTGCTTAGATGATCTGTCCATTTCAGTGAGGGGGGTGTTAAAGTCCCCCACCATTATTGTATTGTTGTCGATGTGTTTCTTTGCTTTTGTTATTAATTGGGTTATATAATTGGCTGCTCCCATGTTAGGGGCATAGATATTTACAATTGTTAGATCTTCTTGTTGGATAGACCCTTTAAGTAGGATATAGTGTCCTTTCTCATCTTTTATTACAGTCTTTGGTTTAAAATCTAATTTGTCTGATATAAGGATTGCCACTCCAGCTTTCTTTTGGTGTCCCATTAGCATAGTAAATGGTTTTCCACCTCCTCACTTTCAATCTGGGGGTGTCTTTGGGTCTAAAATGAGTCTCTTGCAGACAGCATATCGATGGGTCTTGTTTTTTTTATCCAATCTGATAGCCTGTGTCTTTTGATTGGGACATTCAGCCCGTTTACATGAATTTAGTGCCATTGCATTACCTGTAAGGTGACTGTTACTATATATTGTCTGTGTTCCTTTCTGGTCTATGTTACTTTTAGGCTCTCTCTGGTAATGTCAGTCTTTTTGATACTACCTGTTTAGGGTAGGTATGTAGTGGTTTCTCATTCTGGTTTTAATTTGCATTTCTTAAGTGACTAATGATCTTAAGTACCTTCCATATGTTTATTGCTCACTTTGATATCCTCTTTTGGAAGTACCTATTCAAGTCTTTTGTCTATATTTAAATTAGTTATATGTCCTTTCTTGTTGATTCGCTTGAGTTCTTTATATATGCTAGGTACAAGTCCTTTGTAGATCTGTATATTACAAAAATTTTTTCACAGTCTGTAGCTTCCTTTCTCGTGTTCTTAATGATGAATTTTGATGAATAAAAGTTCAGTTCAATTTTTTATGGTTAGTGCTTTTTATTTCCTGTTCAGGTATTTTGGGTCTGCTTCAAGCCAAGAAGATATTTTCCTATATTTTCTTCTGGAAGCTTATTTTAGTTTTTATATTTTGATCTATGATCTACCTAGAAGTTTTGTGTATGATGTAGAGTCAAAGTTTACTTTTTTATATGGGTATCTAATTGACTCAATACCACTTGTTGAAAAGACTATATCCGTTTCCCCACTGAGTTGTAAGTGAGGTATTATGGTAAGGTGGGTTCTGTATGTGTCTAAATTATTGTAGCTTTAGGGGTGCTTGAGTGGTTCAGTAGGTTGAGCATCCAATTCTTGATTTCGGCTCAGGTCATGATCTCAGGGTCGTGAGATCGAGCCCCCCATGGGGCTCTGTGCTGGGCATGAGCCTGCTTGGGATTCTCTCTCTCCCTCTCCCTCTGCCCCTCCCCCCACCCTGATCGTGTGTGTGCACTCTCTCTCTAAAAAAAAAAAGAAAGAAATTACTGTAGCTTTGTAACACATTTTGAGAACTGATAGTGAAGTTCCTTAGCTTCATTGTTGTTCTTAAAAATTGCTATAGCTATTATAAAGCCTTTGCATTTGTATATAAATTTTAGAATCAGCTTGTCAATTTCCACACAAAATCCTGCGGGGATTTTGATTAGAACTGCATTGATCAGGGGCACATGTGTGGCTCAGTTAAGTGTCCGACTCTTGATTTTGGCTTAGGTTATGATCTCAGGGTTGTGAGATTGGGCTCTGTGCTGGGTGTGGAGCCTGCTTAAGATTCTCTCTCTCCCTTGTCCTCTGCCCCTCTTCCCCTCCCCCGCTCACTCACTCTCTCTAAAAAAATAAAAATAAAAGACAAAAGAATTGTATTGATCCTATAGACTAATTTGGAGAGAATTGACATATTTACAATATTGAGTTTTCTAAATCATTAAAATAATATATCCCACCATGTTTTAGGTCTTTTAAAATTGTTCTCATCAGTGCTTTGTAGTCTTCAGTGGTGAGGTCTTGCATTAGATTTGTTCTTAAGCATTTGGTCTTTTTCAATGCTATTGTCAATGGTGATGCTTTTTTGTATTACATTTCCACTTGTTTGTTGCTAGTACATAGAAATTTTGAACTTGTACCCAATAACCTTTCTAACCTGAGATTATAGGGAGATGATATATGTTCAGGTAGAGTATACATGGCTCATCTTTCTAGATGTAGGGCCTGTCTCCCCACAGGATCACTCTTTAGCAGCCACACTTGCAACCATGGCCCATCCTCTTGCTAATTCCTACTTTGTTCCTTGTACAAACCCATCCTCCAGTCCTTTCCAGACGGATGTCATAGGAGAAGTTTTTTGGGCCATGTGATGCTCCACCCCTCTTATTGTTTACTTCATTTTCATGTAACTTTTATCAGTATAATATCATTAACATGTGGAAGTATAATATCACTAATATAACCTATTAGCCAGGGCAATGTTGAGTAGTGCCTGCACTACTTGGATCCAGTCCAAGAAGATGCTTTGATTTATGGCTGAACTCAGATGTTTATTGGCTCATCTCATTCCGATGATGCCAAGAATGAAGTCACTCCACAACCTCTTCCTTACTATACTGTGCTGCTGGTTATTCTTACTATCTCTCCTGAATTCACTGTCTTAATATATTCTATTTCTACTCGCATAACAAAGAGTATTTTCAAATCCTTTGACAAAAAATCTTTTATATACATTTCTCTCTTCTAAGACAGTTGGTTTGCCTTCTCTGATCAGTACTGTCTGCCCACCCAGTAGTACTGAGGCTAAAAGAGCTTGCATGTTGCAAAGTCAGAAGGAAAGTCAATGTGGCTGAAATGTAGTGAGTGAAGGACAGGGTGGCATGAGATAAGATTGGAGAAGTTAGGTGGGAGCCAGATCAGGCAGGACCTCAGAGGCCTGGCCAAGGAGTTTTGATTTTATTCTAAGTGCCACTTACCACCTGACAGGTATCACAGCCAACTCCTCCCAGTTAGAGTTAGAGATGAGGACCAGTGAGAACCCCGCTAGGGGTCACCCTCCTGTACACAGTGGATGGGAGACCCAGACTCCAGCCTCTCTGGGGGCAGTCAGTGCACTCATCAAACTTTATTCTGTTTCTCTTTTGTTTCAGAGGTTGTGTTCTCATCTTACCCTGGATTTTCAACCTCAGAGGTAGGAACTGCCTATTTTATATTTGTGTCCTTAAGTTAGAACATTCATTTTAAAAAACAAAAGTAAGCTAATGAAGCTATGAGGGGCATTTATATATATCACACTGAAGAAGCCCGTTCATTGAACAGATATTTACCGAATACCTACCATGTGCCTGGCACTGTGCTGGCCTATGAACATACAGTGGTGGACTAGACAGTCAGGTCCCTGACCTCACACAGCCCACAAGCTCACTTTTGCTGTTCTCAGATGTGTGCAGTCAGAATGGTTGCTGCCTTAAGTGATCAGGCTGGCATTGAAGTGAGGCAGCCACCAAGATGGAACCTTGGGGCTCCCTAGTAAGGGCCCCCAAAAGCTACACTCATCCTTGCCAAATATACCACCATCTAGGGTCTGATCCTTGGTGTCACAGGTTTAGATGCTTGATTTTTGTCTGGACAGAAAATTGGTTTTTCTTTCAGGGTTAGATGCTTACTAACCAAGCTCACGAGGACTGATGCACTATTGATTTCTTCATTTACAATAAGAAGTATAGGTACACATTTAGCCAACCTGCATCCTTGAGAGGCAGCTCAGTACACTCCCTCCCCACGGATAAAGCTGGGTGAGAAATTATATCAATTAACTATTGCCACATGACAAACCCACCCAAGAATTACAGACTTAAAACAATAGCAATTTATTATTTCTCACAATTATTTGGGGGGGTTAGGTGTTCCACTGGTCTTGCCAGGGCTCATTCATGCAGCTGGCTGGTTCGCTAGGGCCTGAGTTCATGGACAGCTGGTATGGCTTGGCATCTATACGGAGTCTTTTTATTATGGACTTCTTTACAGCATGGTGGCCTTAGGGTTCCAAGAGGGCAAGAGTGAATTGCAAGGCTCTGGAACTCAAATGGTGGCCCTTCTGCCACATTCTGTTGGTCAAAGCAAGTATTAAGTATGATAGGGCAGTACAATTCTTATGCTAGCTACCTGTAGATAGCACAGACCCCACAGGTGAAGGGCACATTTCCCAAAAAGACTGCCCTCACTTCAGACGCTAGCTGCAAGTTTGGGGGGCCCCAAGCTGTCAGCACTTATGACAAACTGGCTATAAATATTGGAGTTCACACAACCTTCTCAGGCTCAGTAATTTACTAGAACAACTTATAGAACTCAGGAAAGCACTATCCTTATGATCACAGTTTTACTATAAAGGGTACAAATCAGGACCAGCCGATTGAAAAGATAAATAATGTGAGGTCCAGGAGGGTCCCAAATGCAGAGCTTTTGTGCCCTCTCACTGTGGAATCTGGGTGTGTCACCCTCCCAGCACATCTGATGTATTCACCCATCAGGAAACTCACTCAAGCCTCAGTGTCCGGAGCTTTTTTTTGGAGTTTCATTACATAGGCATGACTGACTGAACCACTGGCCACAGGACTGAACTTAATCTCTAGCCCAGAGGTCAGGCTGGCTCAAAACCCCAACTCTCTAATAGTGGGGTTGTCTTTCAGGTGTGGCCAGCCCTCATCCTGAGTCGTCTCATTAGCATAAACTTAAGTGTGAACCCGGGGCTCATGAATAACAAAGATATTTCTATCACTCAGGAAGTTCCAAGAGTTTTGGAAGCTCAATGCCAAAAACCTGGGACAGAGACCAGACAAATTCTTTATTATACAACAGCCAGTCTAGGTTCGAGGGCATAGAGATACAGATTCCACCTCTGAATGAGAGGAGCACCAAGGCCACACTGCCGAAGGGCATACATACGGCATAGAGGGGCCTGTGGGCCGTTAAACAGTTGGCCACAAAAGTCAAAGATAATTGGTAGGTTGTTCAGTGCTCAGATCCCAACGCTCTGGCATCTGAGCATGTAGACAGTGTGTTAGATGGTGGAGACTTATAGTGGCCTCTTTCTGTAGAAGTCAGGTGTGTATCCCTCATGCCTTCAGGGCAGGACACTCATGCCCCTGGACAGTGCTAGATACCCCTGAGCCTCACTCTCTGGCTCTTTCTTTTCTGTGCGGCAGTCTGACTTGCCCCCTTCAGGTCACACAGCCATGCTCCAGATAGGGAATTGCACGGTGGAGGAGAATGCTTTACCAGACTGCCACTGCTTTCCACTGTGGCCTCTGGCACATTGCATTTGGATCACCTGGAGCGGAGAGTCACAGACATGCGCCAGCACCATCACTGGTTTTCGTTTTACTCTCACTCATGACTCACCTGTCCCACTTGTGTGGGTGTACGAGTTGGACCCTAGGAGGGCACAAAATACTTGGCTCTGAGTAGGCACTCCGCTACTGTTCACTGAATGAACAAGTGAAATTTAAGTGACTTGCTCAAGATTACACAGCAATTAATGGAGCTTAGAACAGAATCTAGTTCATTTGAACCCAGTTATTAGCCCAGCATCTCAGCCTGTAATTTCCTCTAGTCCCATCTAACTCAAGGAATCAGTGAGGCATGATTAACCCAGTACCTTCTGTTTTCTGCTTAATTAAACATGTTGATCCTGAGGCAGACTGGGTTGTGCTGAAAAACCACGACCCTACAAGTGACACGGGTGCACCAGGTCACACTCAGGCCTGAAGGCCTGCTTGAAGTCATCCAGGACTTAGCTATTGATTTATCCTGGAATGAAGAGCCTCCATTGTAGGATCATTGTAGCCCATCAGACCAGGTACTCAAGGCTCAGGTCGCTCGTGCTCTCCATCTCCCCACTAGGAAAAGTCCCCTTTAAAATGCAAGCACCCGCTCAGCTGGAAGAGTGTGCTGGGGCCCTTGATCTCAGGGTTGTGAGTTCAATCCCACGTTGGGTGTGAAGATGACTTAAAAATTTAAAAATCTTTTTTAAAAAAATAAAATAAAATGCAAGCACTGTCCTTTTGCCTGTTGGAGAAATTTTAGCCCAACTGTAGAGAACGGCCATTTCAGGATAAGCTGTAGGGCAGAAAGTGGGAGGTGGGGGCAGAGAACTTCTGATGTCTACATCACTGCTATATTATCATTTGGTATCAGAGCACTTGAAGCCTGAACTTTGGGTGACGGAGAATTAGCATATCATGTGACCTCAGAGAACTTGGAACCAGAACTCTGGGCCCTTGGTAACATCTCCCGTTATGACCCTAGATGGCTCTTTTGGCCAAGCCTTTCTAGAATGGTCACTTCTTTCCATTACCCTTCATAGGAAAGGTCTCTTGGTCCTTGACAGCATTCAGCTTCTTATCATCAGGACACTTTGACAATAGACCTTTTTTCCTTCTAAGGCAACCAAGGTATGTGCACTTCCTCCCATATTCGAGATTCTTCCCGTGAAGTCACTGAAGGCCAGGAACCAGACGCTGGCCCCGCCCTTTCCAGAGCTGAGGTACCTTAGCCTGGCCTACAACAAGGTGACTCTTCTGCTTCTCTTCCTATTTTCTCAGGGGCACAGATGGGAGGGTGGGATGCAATCTGCTCTGGCCTGAAGGCCAGCCCTATAACTCCCCATTACAGATATGTGGGCTCAGGAGTTCTCAGGGTGGGGGAAGTGGAGAGAGTACAGACCAAGGCAGGAGTCCATCCATTCAGTCACAGATATTTATTTAATACCATGTGCCAGACTCTAAGCTGCATACTAGGTACACAGCTGTGCAAAGAAAGATCGGGCCTCTTGCTTTTTGGAGCTTGTCACCCCTAGGGAAGACTGGTACAGGACAAGTGGTCTCAATATAAGCATGCTTAGTGTTAGGAATAAACTCACAGTGCTATGAAGTATATGACAGGGGCAGTCTAACCTAATATTTGGGATCAAGGAAGGTTCTCAAGAGAGTGGTTTGTGAGTGTAGTGAGGTGAAGTGTGAGAGAAGAGTGAAGTGGGAAATGTTCTAGCCTATGGGAACAGCAGATGTAAAGTCCATGGGACAAATTTAATGTGTTTTTCCTTCATGTTTTATGTTAGCATATTTTTCCAATAGCCATGTACTATTTGACTTCTGTAAACGCCACCAACTGAGGTCTACTCAAGTCTGAAATGTAGGCAACTTTTAAGGTACTCTGCTTACATTCCTTCTAAGGCAAGCAGTTGGTACAGCCAAACTCCTCAAGTGTTTTCTTCCTAAGAGTTTTATCATTTTAGCTTTGACACTCAGATCTTTGATCCATTTTGAGTTTATCTTCATATGTGGTGTGAGGCAGGGTCCACCTTCATTCTTTTATATGTGGATATGCAGTTTCCTCAACACCATTGATCAGAAAGACTGCTCTTTCCCCCATTGAATGGTCTTCTCACCCTTGTCAATAATCAGTGGACCATAGATGTATTATGGGTCCCTCTTTGATTCTTGAAATTGGTCACTTGTGTCTTTTATTGAAAAAAGGAACTGCTGGTTTCATTAGATTTCTCTACCTATCTGTATTCCCATTTCATCGATTTCTGCTCCTAACTTGATTTCTGTCCTACTCACGAGTTTAATTTGTTCCTCTCTTTCTAGTGTCCTAAATAGTGTAATTTTAGATCATTGATTTAGACCTTTTTATTCTTTAATATAAGCATATAAAGCTATAACTTTTTCTCTAAGCACTGTTTTAGCTGCATCCTACAAATTATGATTTGTGTGTTTATTTTTATTCTTTTAAACTTTTTAAATTCTTGTGGTTTCTTCTTTTACTCTTGCATTGTTTAGATAAGTGAAATGCTTCATTTCCAAATATATGGAGATCTTCTAGATGTCTTATACTTATTATTTCTACTTTAATTCTGTTGTGATCAAATAACATAACCTGTAAGATTTCATTCTTCTGACATCTATTGAAACTTGTTTTATGTCCCATCCTATATTCTATCTTAGTGAATGTTATGTGTGCACTTAGAAAAAAATGTGTATTCTGCAGTTTTGAGGAATAGTGTTCTATAAATATCAATTAAGTTAAGGTGGTTGGTAGTATAACTCAGATCATTTCTGTACTATTTGTCTCTTTGTTCTACCAGTTATCGAGAGCAGCGTGTTAACATCCCCAGTCATGACTGTGGATCTGTTTATTTCTCCCTTTAGTTCTGTCAGTTTTTGCTGCATGTGTTTTGAAGTTTTACTATCAGGTACATAAACACCTAGAATTTTTATAGCTACCTGATGTGTTATTATTTTGACTTGTCTCCCTGTGCCTTGAACAAAATTTCTTGTCTTGATATCTGTCTTACCTGATTTTTTTTAAAAGATTTTATTTATTCATTTGAGACACAGAGAGAGAGAGAGAGAGAGAGCATGAGCAGAGGGAGAAGGAGAAGCAGGCTCCCTGCTGAGCCAGGAGCCCAATGTGGGGCTTGATCCCAGGACTCTGGGATCGTGACCTGAGCCGAAGGCAGATGCTTAACCATCTGAGCCACCCAGGTGCCCCTGTCTTGTCTGATTTTAATATAGATTCTTATGCTTGCTGTTTGCATAGTCTCTTTCTATCCTTTTACTTTCAACCTCTTTATAGCTTTGTATTTCAAGTCCATCTCTTGGGGACAGCATATAATTGGTTCTTGCTGGGGTGCCAGAACGTTTTTCTCTATGTTCCTGCTCTGTCCTCGGGGTGCAGCCTTCCCCATGCTCCTACACTTCACAAGGGTTTATCTCCACACTCGTGTTCCTCTCTCCAAGCAGGAGACTGCTTTTGCTTGTTACTTAGCGCTCGCTTGTCTGGTGGTAGAGGGCCAAAGGGAGGGTCCAACCCCACTCTTAAGTAGGCCCTGGGTTCCTGTGTCTCAAGGATGGGCCTTCTCAGTGGTCCTACCCCTCCGCAAGCAGTCAGAGACCTCTCAGGTAGTAGGCCTAGGTTGGTTTCCTGCCCCTACCCCAGGAGCAGAAGGTTTTAATTTTTTCCCTTCCCCAGATGCAGGGCCATGGGCCTGACAGGGTTTGCTGACCTTCCTCAGAAACTTAGGGCTTTTGTTCTCTAGGGAGAGGGGTGGCAAGGCTTCCTGCCTTTCTGATAGTGTCAGGGACTCTTCTCCTCCAGGCCTATGCCTCAGGGATGGCTTTCTCCAGTCTTGCTCCCTGGGTCCAGGCTTTTGCGCACAAGTGGCCATGAATTCTCCTTCTCTCTGCAACTCTTGAGAGTTCTCTTCTACTCTAAGAGGCCCACACTTAGCCTTTAGTGGCTCATTAAAATGTTTAGCTCATTTCTTCCTAGTTGCTTATATGGCACTTGCCATCTCTTCCTCCCATGTTCTGCCACATGTGAGCCAGTGTCCATGGCCCATCGCTCCTTGGAGGTGCCCATCTTTCCTTAGATTCCAGTCCAGATGGTTGCCCTGAGACCTTAGCTCTCTTGGAGATGCAAGAAAAGTTATGATGTTATAGTTATTCTTTTTTCTTGTTGTTAGGAGGGGAGCAATACTTTCCTTTTTTTTTTTTAATTTTATTTATTTATATCAGAGAGAGAGAGAGCATGAGCGGGGGAGACAGGCCAAGGGAGAAGGAGAAGCAGGCTCCCCGCTGAGCAGGGAGCCCGATGTGGGGCTCGATACCAGGACCCTGGGATCATGACCTGAGCCAAAGGCAGACGCTTAACCAACTGAGCCACCCAGGCGTCCCTACTCTCCATTTTTCTATATGCTTACTTGAGTTTTTAAATTATATTTTTCTTTATGACAGTTATCACCTAACATATATATCTTTTTCTTTATTGTCAGTTGTCTACTGCCAGAATGTAGGTTTATTTGAGAGTAGGACTTTGTTTTGCTTATAACTATATCCTCATCATCTGGAACAGCACCTGATACATGATAGGTACTCAGTAAGTTTGTTTGATGAATGAATGATGTTTTGATCACATCAAGGAATACTCATGCTACCTGTGTTGAAATTAATATTCAGTTTATTAAAGTTACAAATTTTAAAACCAATTCTGTGTTCAAACAGAACTTAAATGTCTAGAATATCCACTCAGAAATCTAGTAAGTTTTGTGTCAAAAGTAAAATCAATGGGGTGCCTGGGTGGCTCTGTCGATTGAGGGTCCGACTCTTGATTTTGGCTTAGGTCATGCTCTCAGGGTCCTGAGATCAAGCCCATGTCAGGGCCTGCAGCCTGCTTAAGATTCTCTATCTCAGGGTACCTGGGTAGCTCAGTCAGTTAAGCATCCGAATTGTGATTTCAGCTCAGGTCATGATCTCAGAGTCCTGGGATCGAGCCCTGCATTGGGCTCTACACTCAGCAGGAAGTCTGCTTGAGGACTCTCTCTCTCTCCCCCCTCTCTCTGTCCCTCCCCCAGCTTGTGTGCATGCACATGGTCTCTCTCTCTCTCAAATAAATAAATAAATCTTAAAAAAAAAAAGATTTTCTATCTACCTCTCCCTCTGCCCCTCCCCCTGCTCACTCTCTCCCTCTCTCTCCACCCCCCAAAAAAGTAAAATAATCACTTTCATTCAACCTTTAACTAATATTTACTTAGTTCATAAATTTGACAGATTAAGTTGTATTTGCCTTAACCCAATGAAATTGGACAGAAATACTAAGTTGTCATTGGACCCTGAATTTATTATCAGTGGCATTCAACTCACTTTACAGGGATAGGCTAGCATGATGGCCAGATTTTCCTCACTACCTCAGCCAGAATCCTAAGTCCATATCTTCAGCTGGGACTTAATTTCACAGAAAATATGACATCCGTGCCATGGGTATCTTTCAACTTTCTATCAGTTTTAATTGTAACTTTCTTCAACTCTTTAGTTGCCTGATTTGGATGGATGGAATTTTGCATCCTGACAAAATTAAATTTAATTCTCCCTCCCCTATTCTGTTGTGCGTGCTTCTTGACCACCTGATTTGTATATAAGAGACTCTGCACCGCCCCCCCAAAAAAAAGACTCTGCACCCTCTTTAGCCACCATTTTATAGTTATTTATCAACACATATTAGACTTCTTTGTAGGTTCATCCTCCTTCCCTCCTTCCCTAGAGTCTAGATAAAAAGTCAGCAAATGTTTTCTATAAAGGGCCAGATAAATACATTACTCTGTCACTACTACTCAATTGTGTCCTTGTAGCACAGAGGACAATGTGTAAATGGATGAGCACGGCAGTGATCTGATGAAACTGTATTAAACAGATGGGGGGGGTGGATTTGGCCCACAGGCATTATCTGCCGACCTTGGTCTTTGTATGGCCTTCAAGCTAAGACTGATTCTTAGATTTTTAAATGGTTGAAAAATCAAAAGAAGGATAATCCTTCATGACACATTAAAATGATATGAAATTCAAATTTCAGAGTCCATCACTCAAGTTTTATTGGAAAAGAGCCATCACACTTACTTATGAGTTGTCTCTGCAGTTTCTGTGTTACAACGGCCCAGTGGAGTAGTTGCAACACAGCGGGTATGGCCAGTAAAGCCTAAAACGTTTACTGTCTGGTCCTTGACAGAAAAACCGTGCCAAGTCCTGGTCTCGATGACCAAATGTTCCAGCTGCTCAAGGCCCGCGCCTCGTCCCTCACCTCTCACTCTGGACTCTCTCCCTGAGATGCCTTCATATACCCACTGGCCCACAGACGGTGGCTCACAAATTTATAATTCCAACACAGAACCAGTATCCTGCACACTCCAGACCAGTGTATCCACTGCCTACCTGAATCTCTACTGGGAGGTCTCAAAGGTACCTCCAAAGTACATGTATCCAAAGTGAATTAACGATCTTCAAATTTGAAGGTCTTCCATCGCCCCGGATCTTAGAGAAGAGCTCCATCACGCCAAAATCTGGCTGTCGTCCTTAACATTTCTCTCTCCTTTATGTCCCTCCTCACTGCGCATATCTAATCTGTGACCAGATCTGGTCATATGTGGGTCCTCATAGTTCTGAAAATTCACGTATTAGGTCCCCAGGGACCAAGATCTTTCTAGCTTTTGTCTGGCCCTGACTTGCATCTCTAGCCTCATTTTCCCTCTGCTGTTAACCAAAGTGGCCTTCTTTCCACCCCCCAGCTGGCTTTCCTCCTCCTCACTGTGAGGCCCTTCTTGCATGGTTCTCCCATGGGCACTTCCTCTCTGCAGTGGGTGGGGCACGCACCGTGAGCTGCTGCCACACACTTTCAATTCCCAGGGGCCTCCCTCAGTAGAAGTCTGTTTCTTGCTTTCACAAAATCCACTGTGGGTATTCCAGGTGGGCTGGGGGCCTCCCATGTGATCTTGCAGAGACCCAGCTCCCTTCTGGCTGTGGCTCTGTCCTCCCATAGGGCCTGAAGGGGATTTTACTCACTCCTCTGCATCTGGCAGGTCGATGGTGGAGCAGGGGAGGGGGGTGAGCAGCGTAGAGGGTCACTCAGGAGGTTTCAAATGGGCTGTGCCCAGAAATGGTCCCTTCTACCTTGTTGCATATGACCTGAGTCATATGAGCACATCTAGTTGCCTAGGAGGCACAAAGACAGTCTGGCTGTGTGCCCAGAAAGTAGAGAGAACGGTTCTGGTTAATACAGAGGTTTCTTTTCTTTTCTTTTCTTTTCTTTTCTTTTTTTTTTTTAAGATTTTATTTATTTGCGAGAGAGAGAATGAGAGACAGAGAGCATGAGAGGGAGGAGGGTCAGAGGGAGAAGCAGACTCCTGCTGAGCAGGGAGCCTGATGTGGGACTCGATCCCGGGACTCCAGGATCATGACCTGAGCCGAAGGCAGTTGCTTAACCAACTGAGCCACCCAGGCGCCCAATACAGAGGTTTCTATGCTGTGCGCTCTGTCCCTACCTCCTCCTCACCCTTCAAATCTCAGGGACGCCTTCCCTATCTCCCTGCGTGGACCAGGGAGACAGGGAAGGACTTCCCACGCCCTCTCTCATGGCGCTGATTATAGCTGCAGAACTCCCATCCTTTCTGTTACAGCTTCAGTGCCTGTGTCCCCCCAGGCAGCACTCCTTGAGGGCAGGAGTTCTAGCGGTTTTGCTCATTTCCAACCTAGTGCTTGACATATGTTGGCATTCACTAATACTTATTGATTGGATGAACACAAAGATAATGGATAGGTTCATTGCCCAGTGGGCATCTAGTGCTACCCACTGGGGCTCCAGAGGAAGCCAAACTGAAGGGCCCTCCCTCTCGCAGTCCTCGGGCCTTATTGCCTTCCACGGGTCCTGAGTCTAACCCAATAACGTTCAGGGTGCCCAGGCATCTGAACGGCCACTGCCCCACTCGTGGCCCCTCTGATACTGTTCTGTTGCTAATAGACACCCTCCCCGAGGTTGTTCCAGCCACTCTGCTCAGCAAGGTTTGGGTATTATTCGCCCTTCAGAGGCTGGCCTCATGGGGGTAGAGCAGCCTCTGGGCCCCAGACAGCCGGGAGGTCTTCCTTATCATTGGCTCGGCTTATCCCTTAGATGAATGGGTCCCCCCTGACTGCCTGCCCCCTGCCCATCCCCAGCTCAGTGCCCAGAACAGGCCTTAATGAAAGAGACCATCAGGAGTGCTGTTGACAGACTGACAGGGTGTGTAGAGGTTGCATTGAGGAAGGTGAAGTGCCAGACAAATTGTATGCTGAAGTCAAAGTCATTGCCCTGCCAAACTTCTAGACTCTTTGTGCTTGTTCCTATTTTGCCACCAACATCTCCATTCCTTGGTCTTGGCTACATATCCAGCGTGGAGAAAACAATTCTTAACTTTCAAATGTGAAACAGTGATGTGGAATTTCAGACAGGATCCTGATCTGTGGGTGTGAGCAGGTGACATCGCAGGAGCAGACCCTGCCCAACACTGAGTCCAGTACAGGAGCCTCACGTCCCCGGCCCCACCCCTGCCCTAGCAAGCATGTAGCCCCGCGGTGTGGGGCCTGGCAGCACTTGGGCAGAGGCGGGGCGGTGCCGACCTGAAGCTTTTCCCCGTGTTCCTTACAGATCGCAAAGGAAGATGCCATCCTGCCAGTAGCTCTTTTCCCGTCGCTCTGCGAGCTCATCTTTCATAACAACCCTCTGGTGGCCCATACACGAGGTATGGTGCCCACAAACCTGTGCTCCCACCCCGGTGCCCAGGGCCAGTGTGGGCACCCTCAGCCCCACCTCATGGATGCTGAGCCCCTGGGCTCTGCTGTGGGTCATGGGTGGATGTGGTTCATGGTGCATTTGGGGACGGAGAGAACCACAGATGTTGCTGACCACCTGCTGTGCACCAGCTTACCTGACAGCAACCTTGTGAGGCAGGTGTCATTGTCCCCGTGCTCAGTGAAGGATGCTGCGGACCAGGGAGGTTCATGATCTACCCAAGGTCCCACAACAAGAAAGAGGCAGAGCTGGGAATGGAACACAGAATTAGCTAGATCCTGCATGAGATCTTTAAGTGCCACCTGGCTTTGTAGAGCAGGTCTATTGTGACCTCATTTCCTACTTCCCAGCTGGGGAGGGGCCTGCAGGGGAGGCATGGCTGAGCAGGGGAGAGGGATGAGAAACGTAAAGGGCCACGCACGAGGTTTCAAATGGGCTGTGTCCAGAAATGGGTGCTGCATCCTGGTACAGTGGGTGCTGCCTCAGTGCTACACCTTGGAGGCATTTTAGAATCCTGGGTCCTAGAGTGACACCAGCAGAGTTCTCACCCTTGCTTTGCACTATCCTTGTTGCCTTGGGAAAATTTCTTAACCTCTCCGTGCTTCAAATGGGAATAATATAGGTACCTATCTCCTGCGGTTGGTGTGAGAATGATGTATTCATTACATAATAATGATGTATTAATGAAAGTTAATTCATGTCTGGCAGTTTGAACAGTGCGGGACACATAGTAAGCCTCCAGTAAATATCTGCTAATAGTAATCTTCCCCATCATGACTCCAGGGGTCCCTCCACTGCTGAAAAGCTTCCTCCAGGAGCGGCTGGGGATCCACTTGATTCGCAAGAAGATAGTAAAGGCCAAGCATCATATTTTGATGCCTTGGAAGGACTCGAGGAAGGTAAGGCCTGCCAAGCCTGGAGGAAGTGGAGCCTGTTTTACTGCATGTGAACTGACCTGGGGAGAGAGTGCCCTTCCCCACTCATCATGGATTCCTTCTGTTAGGTCTGTAGTACTAGCATTGTCTTCTCCTTTCCATGTCTGTTACATACAGATACACCCAGAAAGGACAAGACAGTCAGAGGATCCCAGCTGCCAGAGTAGGGAGAAGCTGTGAAGGTCATGGAATCCTACCCCCAACTTTGACAGAGAAACTGAGGCCCCGAGAAGGAGCTATGGAGAAGTAGGGGAGAAATCAGTCTGAAGACCCGGGGATAAGCCTGGTTTCATCACTTTCCACAGCTGCCTGAACCTGGGCAAGAGCTTTACTCTCTGAGCTTCAGCTTCTCAACTCCAAGCCTCCCTGAGCTGCTGAGAGGACTGGATGAAGCAACAGATACAAAAATATGTTATAAATCCCCAAATCCATACCTGTGCAAGTTCTAACCACCTGTGGGAGTCATGGATGACTGCCAGGCCTAGAATACACATCTCTTACACATAAGGAAGCATTTCCTTATGTTGAGAGCAATCTGCCCCCCAAAACCAACCCCAGCCGGTGGTCTTAGACTTACCTTCTGGGATGCCATACAGTATCAAAAGGATTGCAGAAATTTCTGTGAAATGCTTCTCCCTCCTGAACTTTAGCCTTCCTATAACTAAAAGCTGGACTGGGCATTCCCAGTCCAGCTTATTCCGTTTATACAGTTGCCTTACAGTATAGTTACTCCCTTTCTACCCCCTCTGCAGCCTGTCGCTGTCCAGCCAAACTCTAGTCTGGAGCCCTTAGAGGACCAGCACAGAATTAAAAGCCAGAAATAGACAGAAATTCAAAAGTTTTCCATCATCATCCCCTTGTTTGTTGCCTCCTCTAAGGATTGGAGTATCTCCTTCCCATCAGCCAGCCTGAGAGGGGCACAATCAGAGTGAGCCAAATGCTAAGTACATAATCCTCTCTCCCATGATGACGGGCTTTCGCTAATTAAGGAAGCTGAGAATTTCAACAGGAAAGAAGTTATTTCCTTGGTTCTGAACCCTGAGAGAGATTTGCCTTATGAAACTTCATTTAAGGTATAGGGACCAGCATCCTGAAAGGGGCTTGGTGCTGCTGCCTTCCATAAGGGACAGGACCATCTCCTCCAGGTCTTCCTAGGAGTCCCTGAAGAAAGTCGAGGGCACCGTGTTAAACCTTGATCAGAAGAAGAAGGCTGTTGAGAGCCAGAGTGATATGATCAGGGATATAGAATGAGGCAGAAATCAGGTAGTCCAGGCTCTGCCACCAAATAATTCTGTAACCTTGGACAAGTCATCTTACCTCTCTGAGCCCTGGTTTCCACTTTTATAAAATAAGGAGAATTACTTCCTGGGTAGTTTGAGGTGTAAATCAAGCAACATCTGTCATGTACAGGGCACATTGTAGATGCCCAGTTAGTGGGATTTGGCTCCCTCCCTCCCGCTATGAGCCCTCATCCAGTACCCTGATCACAGTACCAAGTAGCCTTAGTCCAGTGAGGTCTGGAAGGAGAGATTCTGATTAGGAAGCAAACCAGTCTAGCCTTTCTCCCATGACAGGTGAAAACCCAAGTCCCAAAGGTGCCAAAGCAGCCTCTGATTCTCCATCACCTCCCTATGACCACGGTCCAGTCTCCCTCAAAGGAGATCCCAGAGTCTGAGGCAGAGCCGACTAAAGAGCTCTCCGCTGCCAGAAGCAGTATTCTGGAGTCACAGATACCTATCGAGGGCGTGGAGGGCCTTTCCCTGTCCCACCGGACCTTCGTGCCCCTGCCTCCCATCTGCTCTGATTCCACCGTGTACAGTGAAGAGACCATGTCCCACCGCAGCAACAGACCTGGCCACGTCAGCCCGCAGCACCTGTCAGACGAGGACACCAGGAGCATGGAGTCCATATTCTTGACCCAGGTGCCTGGTCCCCCCTTCCCCTGCCTTGTTCCTAGCTCCCAGAGGCTCCTATACAACCTTGGCATAGCTGGCTTGCGGTAGGCAGCCAGAAGGGAGTCCAAGACAGGTCCGGAAATTAGAAGGAAGCCCCCCCCGGCAGGCCCCACAAGCCCCTCCGGGAGCTCCGCTAGCCAAGGCTCCTGGTAGGGATACCCATGGAGACAAGTCACGGTCCTGGGGCACAGACAGCATCTGGGGTCTGGCTGGGGCACGGTTCTGACCAGTTTTTCGGGAGGGTTTGCTGCTGCCTCTGCCTATCTGTATAAGGTCACATCACTTTTGATGCTGCCTCTGAATCCTGGGAATACAGATGGCCAAGACAAAGGTCTGCCTTCGAGATGTCCTCAGTCTGATGGGAGAGTGCAGGAACAATGCACGCAGTCAGTGCCGAGACTAAGGGAAACCCAGGCGCTGGGAGCCTGGGGGAAAGAAGGATCCTCTGCCCAGACCAGGAGGGCTCCTGAAAGAGGTTCCGATGAACTGAGCTTTGCAGGCTGAGTAGGCAGTGACAAGGTGAAAACATGGGCAGAAGGGCATCCTGCGCAGAGCAAACAGCATGAAGCAGGCTACAGAGGACAGAAATTAAAGTGGCATGTGCAGAAACCACAGATGGTTCAGTGTCTGGGCGGCAGACAGGTGACACATAGGAAAAGGGCAATAGGAGGCTGGAGGAGCTGGTAGGGCCCCGCGAGCATTATTCTTGTACCACTGCCTTTCCTCAGCTCCCCACCTCCCATCTCATGCCTCCAGTCTGCCAGATCTTTCCAAGATGCACATGCATACATTTATGCCTGACTCCATCCATCCCTTATTCCACAGATGACTTATAGTGACATACACATTTATACGGTATAAAACTTGTCTTTATGAACTCTATCAGAACCTTTTGGAACAAAGCAGAGTATAAGTAAATATTTAAAAATGAGCTTGAAAAAAATAAAATGAGCTTGAGAAAGTTGGATGAAAGGAAAATATGGACAGGAAAGGAAATAAGGTCTCTGTCACTCTAACCTGCTCATCTGCCCTGCTGCTCTCGTTACAGAGGTATATTGCCAAAATGCAATTCTGGGCTTCCTAGGAGCCAAAGGAATACAATCAACTGGGAGTCACCGTGATGGGAAAAGCTTTTCTTCCCCTTGCCGGATTGCCCAGGCTGTGACCTCCAGTGCAGTGTGGAATAGAAGCAGAAAGAGCGAACATGTCTTATTCCTGATCTCAGGGAGAAAGCTTTCAGTCTTTCACCATTAATTCTGACATTAGTTGTGGGTTTTTCATAAATGTCCTTTTTTCCTGGTCAAGGAAGTTTCTATCCCTAGTTGAGTGGTTTTTTTTGTCACGGAGGCGTGTTAGATTTTGCCAAATACTTTTTCTGTGTGTACTGAAATGATCATGTGGCTTTCGTGCTTTATCTATTGGTGTGTCACATTAATTGATTTCCAGATGTTTAAGCAAGCTTGTCTACCTGCAATAAGTCCCACTTGATCATGGTATATAATCCTTTTTATAGGTTGTCAATTTAGTTTGCTAATATTTTTTGAGGATTTTTGTGTTTATGTTCATAGGGATATTGGTCTGTATTGTCCTTCTGTGATGTCTTTCCTTAGTTTTGGTTTCAGGATAATAACTGAGAGAATGAGCTGGGAGTGTTCCCCTTTCTAATTTTTGGAAGAGTTCGTGAAGGATTGGTGTTAATTTTTCTTTAAATGCTTAGTAGAATTCACTTGTGAAGCCATCTGGCCCTTGGCTTTTCTTTGTGAGAATTGTTGAGATTTCTACTTGTTACAGATCTGTTCAGATTTTCTGTTTCTTCTTAGCCACAAGCTTTCATGAAGTGTATAAATAACATCCCTACATGAAATACAGGTCTCATAAATATGTTTCTTATAAAGCCCTTAGGGTAGGCTAAAAATGTGAGTTCAGACAGTGGTCACTCACCTCCTTAAAACTCCTCTGTGGCTTTGCCATCGCCGTGAGGATAAAGAAAATTCAAAAAAAAAAAACAAAAGAAACACCCTCAGGTTGGCTTTTAAAAGTCCTTACTGATCTGAGGCCTGCTTACTGCTCCAGTCACCCATCTCTTCACAGTACACCCCAAAGATACCAACTTAGAGTACCCCCAGAGCCACCTTGCCGGGTCTTACACGGGTGGCTCGGCCCCTGCTCTTCCTGGCCCGCAGCAGGCCTCTCTCCCCAGCACTTATAGCCCACCCCTCTCCCCATCCCTGCCTTTGAATGGGGCCACCCTGCTTCTTCAAGACTTGGTGCAGGTTAAGGCCTCACTTCCTCCAGGAAGCTTCCGAGCCCCACAGGCAGGCGGGGTGAGGGCTTCCTGGGCTCACCCAGAACCTTTGTGCTCCCTTCTCCTCTGGCGCTTACCAAGGTGCACAATCACGGTCTGCTTTCACGGCTGCCTCCTCTCACCCTGGTCTTGGTTCTTGCCCTTACGGGCCCAGGGTGGGGACCCGCACAGAGCTGATGCTTAGACATGTTAATGGAAGCTGGTTTTCTTTTGGGCACAGGTGGGTGAGCTGCCTTCCTCCATCCTCCAGAGGGATGATTCATCCATGAGGGAGGAAGAGCAAAGACCACCCCACACAGCTCCCAGAGAGGTAAAGAGGGCTTGGAGGAAGCTCCCGACTGCCTCCCTCCCCAGCAAGTACCATGGCTATGAGGAGCTGCTGACAGCCAAGCCTGATCCAGCCTTTATTGAGCCAAAGGGTATGTGAGGAGAATGGCTCCAAGACGGGGGCCCTCTCCACGGCCCAGAGCAAGTCAGGGCAAAGCTAAGGCTGGTGGCATGCCTCACTTCCAGACCAGGATGCTGTCCTTTGTCAAAGGGCTCCTGAAGGTGTCCTGGTTCGGAGCCTCCCATATCAGGACCCCTGGCCCGGGCCTTCAGTGGATTTTGAGGCGCCACAGCTGTTCCGAGATTCCAGCCAGTCTAGGCCTAGCTGCTCTGGCTGGAGAAGCGTCTCCAGGAAGGGCTTGATGAACAGCTACCCAGACTGGCCAGATTCCTGAGCTCCTTCCCAGCCCAGCTGAGCCCCAGATTGAACATCCCCAATCCTCTCTCTCTGGTTTGAGGCAAGGGAGGCAGTGCTCCCTCTGAGCCCCTGATTTCAGACTGATGTGTTAACAATACTTGTGCTTTCAAAGGAACTGGCACTCAGCTGTGCTCTCTTGGAGGTCAGTCCCTGCAGTGTAACCCACTGTGTTTAATGGGGTTACATTGCGGCCAGTCCCTTTCCCCATTCTAGTGCTATTTTTCCATTAGGATCCGTGCACCCAGGGGACGAGTATTCACTGAATGAATGATGGAGGTTCTGGCACTGCAGCAGATCAGGGAGAGATGGGGGCAGTGTGTTCCTCTTGGGGCCTCTCAAATCCTTTCACCCAGGGCTGCTGGGGAATGAGAAAACTGGGGAGGCATCCAGCAGATGGAGGAAGAGTACCTTGCCCCAACCCTTGCCTTTTTGCCTTAGGAATCCAGAAGAACGCGCAGGCCCTGCAGCGCATGCTGAAGTGCCCCCTGCGGGGCCGCTCTTCCAAGCCCAGGCTGGACGCGCTTCAGAAACACTACGTCCCCAAGGAGAAACGGGTATGCGGGTCAACCCCACCTCGTTGCGTGTGCGACTGGCTCCTTGGGATCCCCCAAGTAGAGCCGTGGCTGTCACCTCACGGCCTTCTGAGGGCTGTGCTTTCCCAGTGCCCCCAAGTGCTCTCCTGCGTGTTGCTGCGTCTGTATGAGGTATGGCCCGGAGAGGCTGAGCACCGGACTGGGGTGACAGGCTCCTCTTACCTTGCGTCAGGCCCAGAGGATCCCTGTTCCACCGCCACGGAAGACTAGAGCCCAGCTGCTGGATGACCTCCTCGTTCGCATGCGGGATCCCCAGAACATTACAGAGGCTCCACTAGGTACAGCTCTGCCCGCCCCCATCCCCATCCCTGTCCCCGTCTTCAGCGGCCAGAACCCGAGACAGAGAGAAGTTCGCTCATCTGCCGGGAGGAGGCTGAGGGCCCTTGGCGTCTGCCCCCGCCCTGCCCCCTCTGCGGATGGAGAAGCTGAGGCCTGCCTGGAGCGAGGCAGGGAGTTGCCTAGAGTCACACAGCATGTTACAGACCAGAACTAATGCTTGAGGTAGAATCAGCTGGCTTCTTACTGCCCGGAGCTGGGGAGGCCATTCTCAGTCCCCGTAGCATCCTCCTTTCACTCCATCCCACTTTTTGGGGGTGGGGGCGCTCTGGACACAGTCCCTACTGCTTTGGGCTAGGGGGCCCCAGAGCGAGTTTGGTGCCCCTCGGCCTTCTCTCCCTGCAGGAGCTGTCCTGCACCAGCGGACTGAGCGGCGGCTGGTGAACCAGAAGCAATACTTGGAGGCCAAGCGGCTGCTGAAGGAGTTCCAGGCCCGCTACCGGCAGCTGGTGCGCTGCTCGCTGCGGACGGTGTTCAGGGCCACAGCGCCGCCCCCGGGCCGCCCAGCGCTGAGCGAGGGCCAGCCTAGGTTTGGCTGCTTCCTCGAGTTCATGGATGAGTTCTGCCAGGGGCCCATGGCCAGCGACTCGAAAAGCTAAGGGCTGTGCACAGGGCCATGCGCACTGCCCCGCCTGTGCCCAACGCCCTCCCAGGGCTCCGTGCCCTGGACCGCGCCTTGGGGCCAGGTGGGCCAGGTGCAGGCCTCAGACCTTGGCTTGGCCTTGCCTGCTGGCCACAGAGAGTGGGGAACTGGTCAGGATCTCCCCTCCCCAGGCTGGGCAGGACCCAGCACCTGGCCCAGCAGCAATAAAGAGTAGGTGCATAGAGCAAGGTAGCCCGCATGTTTTCTTGTAGATCGGGCCCGCCTCCCAGGCTAGACAAGGATCCCAGCTGATGCACACATCCTTTGGGAAACCTGCCTGAGTCGCACCTGTCCAACAGAGCTGTGATGAGCACTGGGACAGAAAACAAGGGGGTTGATGGAACAGAAAAGCAGCACAGACTCTAAAGCTCAGAGAATTGAACCAACCCATCCACAGCCTACAAAGTGTGCATGTTGCTGGGGTAGGGGGCAAAACTGAGCCCTCCAGGCCCCAGAAAAGGGGCCTTATTTTGTTGGGCAGCTTTTCCCATGATGAGGGCAAATGGAGAGGAGGAAGAAGAGAGGATCGGGAATTCCCTTATCAGATGGCGATGGCCACAAAGTTGTGACAGTTGTGGTGTCCCAAGGTCCTCTAATCCGGGATACCAGCTGAGGTCCCATATGCAAACACTGTGGCTCAGGAACGGATCCTGGGGCTGTACAAGGTCAGCCTGGGCTCCAGTTCTGGCCAAGGCAGCCTGTCGGGTTGCCCCATTTTGTGACTGTCCAAGAATCAGCACCTGCTACAGAGCTGGATCTAGAGGAGGCCACTGGGACTGAATTCCAGAGATGCGCATTTGGGAATGGTCTCCCTTGGCGCCTAAGGCTACTCTCCTGGGGGTTGTAGCATTCAGACCCGGGGGCAGGCATGCAGTTCCCAGGGCCCAGGAATGAGTGGCACAAGGATTAAGGACCCTCAGCAAGGCACAGACCCCTCCAACTTCAGTTGCCATTAAGGTGATCTTTGAGCTAGAATCTTGCCTTGCAGCCGTGGGTCTGACAGAAGCCTGGTGGCGTGTCTGCTCATCGCGACTGTGAGGCTGTTAGGGCACAGAAACGCCTGCTAACGCTCCTACTTGGCCACACAGTCTCCCACGCGTGGCCAGCGTCCGCTCTACAGCCAGCTGTGGTCACAGCAGACGCACACATCTGCATTCCCACAAGTCACACACACAGCCACGCGGCCGCACATGTAGTTACAGCGTCAGTTACATCACAGCGACACAGGCACCCGGACGGGTACACGTGGTACGGGCTTCCCTGACAGTGACACTCGCAGGCAGGGTGTGTTGCTGACTCACCACTTGGATCTCCTGGGGCCCCAAACCACCCTTCCCCTAACGTGAGGAGGAGAATCCGCCCCCACGGTGACCCTGTAAGCCATGCTGGGCTCCAGGCCTAGAGAACGGGATTGCACTTTGCAGCCGGCAACACTTACCAGCCATAGGCTCTCTGGCCTGAAAGGCTCCTGGGAACAGCCTATCCCAGCCTCGAGACCGGAAGCCTCTTGCGGTCCCCCTAACCGATCGTTCAGCTCCTGCTTGCACCCCTGCGGACGGGGAACTCCCTCCCTCCAAAGGCTGTCCCTTGCTTTGTTGGTAAAGCTACCAGGCAGTTCTAGCCACTGGGCTGAGCTGTCTGCCTAAGTCCCTCGGTACGCCCAGCGCTGCTGTTTGCTCAGGAGTGTATCGGCTCCCTCCGCCAGGCCAGGCCAGAGCCCTCCACCAACGTGAGAACATCCCGGAGAGGCGACACCTATCCGGGCCGAACGCTCTTTAACGTTCTCAGTTACTCCACCTAAGATGGCATCTGAATAAATCAGTTCCTCCCCTAGTGCCTGTTTGAAGTATGAGAGGCAGGGTCTCACAACGTCTACCCACCCGCCCTCCCGCGCAGGCGAATTGCTGCATCTCTGGAAGCCATACAAGCACTTTCCAAATGTGTCCATTCTTTTCTGTCTCCAGAGTGATCTGGACTTAATACATTACCAGGGTTCGATTTTTAACCCTCTTATTTGCTATATGATAAAGGGCAGGTCATTTAGCCTTACCCACAGTGACAATGGGGTTTGCAATCTCTGTGGGTCCTTCTGGTGTTAAAAACACACTCTGAGGGCTCTTGTGTGAGCAGGTTTCAGTTGCTTGGTTTCCTGAGTTTTGTCCTTTTTTGCAGAGACACGAACTAGTCCTCATCTCAATGAGTAAAGCCTCTGACTAGAATTGTCAAACGAACATGAATTCACAACTAATCAGGAAAGCCTTTTGGGCGGCATCCGCCCTCCCTGCTGCCGGCACACTCACTCTCCCCAGCACATCTGCCACTAGAGGCTTCGACCCCGTGGGCTGCTTTCACCCAGCACCGCCCTCCCTTCTTCATAAGCAGATGGGAAGCTGGCTGCCACACTCTTCGCCTTCTCCAACCTCCTAGTGAGCAAACCAGAAGAAATAATTTCTCCCACCACTAATTCTCCAAAACTAGGTAGGGCCATCCTGTCCTCCTAGCCACTTATCCAAGATGCCAGTAACTCCCTGGGAGCTGGATATGGCCGCAGGGGAGGGAACTGAGAACTGATTCAGATGCAGACTGTGTCTCACAGTGCTTGCTGCTGCAGGATACCTCCCACCCCTATGGTGGGTGCAGAGGGAAGATTCTGGTCTCTCTATCCCTGGCAGGCCCAGTCCAGAAGATCCAACCCAGAAAGCAACTGGAACCTTAGAGTTAGCCAAGACCAGAGCGGGGGGATGGCAGCGCAGTGAGCTGACTGAGCTAGGGCAACAGGAAAAGCAATCAGTGGCTTTGCAGTCAGAGGACCCAACTTCCAGGCTATGTTAGGGCCAGAGTTTCCCATCTGTAAATGAGGGCACCCCCTTCACCACACCAGGCTATCGGAATCCATGAGTGCAATATGTAGGACATTTTCTGTTCCCTCAGAGGCCAAAGAACAATCATACTGTTTGTATACTTCCATGCAGCTGCCTTGTTTCTTGCAAATCATTTTAAAGACAGTCTTTTGGAAGAGTCTTGGGCCAGATTTCAAAGATCCCTTAAGTGCTGGTTTACCACGTACGGCATGTCTTGCATCAGTCCTTCAAATTGGTTTTACACATTTAGATGGGACAGCGATACATTTGTTCTGTGTTTGATGAGAAATGGACACCAAGGGGATTTTGATGAATTCTTGAGCAGTGCTTCCAAAGCCGGTATTTTAAAAATCAGATGTTTTGAGTATAGCCCCAATATGCAAGGATAGTCTCATCCTGTACATCCGTTCTTTTCTCAGACTCTTGTGCCTTCATTAGGAGTCAGAATGGTTGAACAGACCATTCTTAACTTAGACCTCAGACACAGCACACCAGGGAAACCCCATCTCGCCTCCTAATTTCTCCCACCATTCTGAATGCCAAAACAAGACATTCCAAAGTGGGGCATCTCTCAGAGCAAAGATAGCTCCAAAAATCAAACACACCTAGTCTCAGCCCAGATTTGCCTGCGATTGTGCTCTAGAGGTTAAGACTTTGACTAGAAACAGAATATTCACTTTCATGAGTTTGCTTTACTATGTGCTCAACTTGGGCCTCTCCTCAAGCAGGCAAACATACACTGAAGAATGCACTTTGGTACTGTTTAAACAAACAGCACATCGTCCCGTTTGATTCTGTGCCGTTTCTTTGTTGGCAGAAGTATCCCTGACAGGGCCTGCCCTGTTCTGGGTCTTTCTTTGTCAAGATGCTGTTGGTGATGAGTTGGAGAGGAAGCTCAGTCCACAAGGATCCAGGCCCCGTCTCCAATTCTAATGTAGACAGCAGGTTGGAAACCAATATACATCCCATTTTCTGTTTCTAGGTGAGAAGAGGAAAGGCCCTAAGGACAACTGTGTGTGTACAAATTGAGAGTAAACAGCACATCAGGAGAAACAACAAAAACAAAACCATTAGGTGGCATTTAAGATAATTTTTTCCCTCGAGTAGTTCTCCATTCTCTCCTTAGGAGTTTAAGTGTTCTGCTGCAGGCAAAGGGCTGGACCCACCGACGGAGGAAGGGGCCCTGCTCCCATTGGTGGCATAGTTGGAGGGTGCACAGGGCCACCCAGGGAGACTCTGGCCACTGCCCTCCAGACCCAGGGCCCAAACAGCTACTCTTGAGCTCTAACAGCTTGATCTTTGAGGAGTGCATTGCCTGTTTTTACCAATTAAGTGAGAGGGAAGAAGACGAGTAAGCCTGGCCTTAGCTCGGCTTTGTCCAACTAGTTGATAAAAGACCCCAGAAAAGGCAGAGGGAGCCTGCCACCCTTATTAACAAGACAGTAAGGAAGCATTTACTCACAAAGCAAAGTGTGTAAATATTTTTCTTAGGAAGAATAAAAATACTGATCATACATAGAACAATGTGCACATTCAGTCTTGGCACTTTTTCTTCAATTTAACCAATCTCTAAGCTGGTCGTGACCTCTGCTTATGTCTCTTTTCTCTGTAGAACAATCTTTTTCAGAAAGTTACAGTGGATAACAAGCATGTGAAAGATGCATTTTCTGTATCATCTTTGGAGGAAAAGCTATTCAGCAGCAGCTTTCCCTAGAATCTCCTCGACATCCCCCCCCCCCGAAAAAAATACCTGCTTTGTCACTGATTCACAAGAATTTATAAGCAACTATGCTTACTTCTAAAAACCAGGCCAAAAGACCACTCTATAGGTTGATGGGGAAAAGGCTGGCTGAGAAAGATTTAAGTCCCTAAGGAGTTCTTGATTTTTCAAAGAAAAATGAAGGGCTGGCTGGGTTTTAACCCTTGGTGGTTAAAATGATGACTATTCCAATCAAAAAATATATCACTTCCCAAGACTCCATATTCACATTAGTCACATTGTGGGGTTTTCCCTATCTGGGTGTGTGTTCAGGGGATATAGGTATTAATTCTAACAAAAAATTTGAAAGAGAAAGCTAATATTAAAACAAAAAGCCTCCTGTATCATGTGGGTGTCCTCATTAGTAAATTGTGTGTGTGTGTGTGTGTGTGTGTAATTTAAACGGACCATTTAGATCCTAGGAAACTACAGTATAAAATAGGGCATAGGACACTGGACCTCACGTTCCTTATTTCTTAGAAAAAAACGGGCAGCAAGTGGGAAAAATTTGACCTGAATGATTTCCATGCCCTTTCGAGCTATAGCATTTTATGATTATAATCCAGCCTTCAATTTTTCTTTCTTTCCTCTCCTGCTGGTTTTCCATCTCAGTGAAAAGCCAGGCAGAAAAAAGACAAAGGAATCCAAAAGTTGCTACCAGCTGTGATGAGAGGTCTGGTTGGGAAGGAGGTGAGGAGGTCAGGGAGTTGGGATGTGGGCCTCCTCTGCCCATGTCAATGATCCACACCCTGCCTCACTTCCTGGCACTGATGTAAAAGCTCTCCTGAAGAGATTATTGTCCTGTGTCACTGGAGGAGAAAATTCATTCTCCTCTGGTAAAATTACTTAGGAAATGGAAAGCAATGTTGCAATCAAATTCAGAAATACTGATGGGAGGGGTCTAAGATGTTCAAGGCAGCCTGCCAGATGCTGGACAGTATCTTAAATGGGGCCATCCAAGATGGTCACTATGAAGAAGCAGAACTCCAGCCACACAGACATTCAAATACATTCCATTAGAGACTGAGCTCCTCAAGAGCGGGGACTGTCCTTTCCATCCTGTATCTCCATGACCCAGTACAAGGTTGGCACAAGTTCGAAGCTCAGGAATGTCTGTTAAATGGAACAGAAAGGGTGAACAGCACAGCCTTCGGTCATCAGCTTCACCAGTCAAGCACAGTGGCAGCTTCCCATCTTAGTCTGTCACTTTGTAATCAGACAGCAATTAATTAAGCAGCTTTAATCTCTTAAGGGCATTTTTCTTTTAGGGGAAATGAGCAAAAACAAAAACAAAAAAAAACACCCAAAACCAAGAAAACCAGAAGGCATTCATCACCAGTTCTTCCTCCAGACAAAAATCTAAAACTTAAAAAAGTAAGAAATGAAGCCACTTACAAAAGGTTTTCCTGGGAAGTTGCAGCCATGATGAATTAACCTTTTAAAAAGAGGCAATTATATGAAAGGGTCCAAGGGCTGGGTGCTTAATCCCCTGATTTGACACTGACCCAACAGGCCCTGATGACTCCTTCCAGCAGATACAATCAATAGGTCACGAATATGTTGCCAAAGGTCTTCCCCACTCTATGGAAAAGGGCTGAGAGCCCTCTTCTCAGGGCACCACAGAATGACCTTCATCCTCCAACCTCTCCTAACTTCCCCTTTAATAAAAACAAAAACAAAAACAAAAACCACACACACAGAATGCATATACACAAGGAGCAGAGCTCGTAGGACATGGGAAATTTGTATGGTGAATCAGATTCCAGTGATTCGTGAGAAATGTCTGTTTTGTGAAATAGCGGCTCTCTCGTTCTCCCTCACCAACCCTCCCCATCACTCTGTTTTCCCTTCCTGTCTTTCTCTTTCTCCAAATAATTCATGTCAACAACACCATTTGTGATAAACTTCACAAGGAAGCAAGCAACAGGACACAGACGGTTTTCAGAAGGAGAAAGTGTTCAGGTGTTAGTTAAGTACGGGAAGCATTTTAAAATACAGATAATACCTTAGTGGTTTTTTCCTCCTCCAAAGCCAAGCAGATGAGAGGGTAAGCCCTGTCGCTCCTTAACCTAAACTGCTTTGCCTCCACAGCAAGGACTACTGCTCGGCCGGAAGTCTGCAGAACAACTGTCAGGGCCCCTCTAGACACAACAGGAGGTGCAAGGGGGAAAGTCAGCAAGCTGGATCTGGCGTTTGCAATACTCACTTCACAGGAGGGAGCTTTGCACTCTGCACCTGAACCTAAAATTCCTTGCTACTGCTATGCAACTCCTTAAAACAAAAGTATGACTTCGGGGAAATATTTAAAATATATATCTTTTTCTATTAAAAATATTTATCTTTTCTCCAAAACCAAAAACCAGTTCCAACTGAAACGTGTTTTTCAAATGACTGGAGACCTAGACAAAAGGCGGCAAGTGGAGAAAAGAAGCTTCTTTGCTACCACCGAGCGGACGAGCCTCCCAGGGATGTTCGCTCAGACCAACGAGCAGCTCTAGGAAATGGCAGGAACTGAGGCTTTCTCTAAGGGCCTTCAGTGAGTCACCCTCCCCTTCCTCCGCAGACCAGCACCAGCTCTGCTATCCTGGGGACCGACCGTCCAGCAGCCTGTGGAGGCCTGTGTGGCTGGCAGGGCCTGGAACCGAAGTGGTGTGAATACAGAGGAATGGGACGGATGCATGTGTTTTAAACACACATCTGCATGTGTGCACGCACACAGACCCACAGAACACAGAACACATACATTCAAGTGAGGGACCCTCCCACCAAAGCAGTCACCGAGGAGGTTCCACACATCTCAGTGAGGACCAAAATGCTTACGACATCTCTGGAACTTCTCCCCGGGAGCTGTTCCTGAGCAGCACGAGGAAATGACTCCGACTGCTTGACAGCTACAACTCGTTTGTAACTCTGAAGCCCTCTGGCCCGGCCTTCTCTTCTAGAGGCTTCAAACAGCTTCTGACTAGTTTCAGACTTAAAATTCTCCCTCCTGTAACCACAAAAGAGTAAAGATCTGCCCCGAGAAGAGGGGGCAAAATTCTCCTGAGAGGAATCAAAAGGTGATCTGGTAAATCCCTAGTGATCAGGTGAGTCACCATTCTGGATCTTAGTTTCTGCCTTAGTAAGAGGAGGAGGTTGGAAAAGATGACCATTAAGGTCCCTTCCAATTCTAACATTTTAGGAGTTTATATTTCTAGATGTTTCTAGACGTTGAGGACAGTTCCAGAAATGTTTTTGCCAATGGCACCATCATTGGAAAATCTATGCAGTATCCTGCTGGAGTCACTCAAGGGGGACAACGTACACTGGGATACATAAGCTCTAAAACCTTTGTTGAAATGCCAGTCACATGACTTTATAGTAACAGCTCGTACATGCACAGGGAATGCCAGCCCATCTGAGATTCCCTAAAATCATCTCTTAATCCCTATTCCCAATGAGCCCAGACGGGCAGAAGCACCAAGCACCACCAGGGATGCAAAAGACACATGGTGTCAGCTCCTAAGGAAAATAAACCCCAAAGGTCCATGGGACTGAATTTACCAGCTGCATCCAGCTAGATACCTTGTTTCCATAGTATGGAGTTTCAGCATTGCTCTTGCCTGACTTCTGGGCAAATTTTTGGGATTTTAGATCAACGTTGCAGATAACCCTTGGACATGTGGAGAGTAATAACGAAGTTCAGCTGTAATTTGTCTCACAGGGCGGAAGCCCCCTCCACCCCCCAGAAAACAGAAGGCTGTAAACTGTGGTGGGGGCGGGGAGCAGGGTGGATAACTGCATAGTATTTATTTATATAGTTCCCATCGATCTCAATTATCTGCCTATGGATTTTACACAATCAGTATTCAAATGCTCAGCCAGCTTTCCCTGGGCTCCCGTGCGTGGCATGCCCTTGGGCTGCTGTCCATTACGGCAACCTGTTCAACCTGTTAGTGTGGAAAATCTCTGGGATCTGTTGTCAGGAGCCCCGACAGTCAGTCTGGGCTACGCCACTTAGTGAATGACAGGACCTGAACGTCCGCCCTGCAGTTCCATCATCATCGAAAACGGCGCTGATAACCACTTACGTGTTAGCGCTCCTGGGAAGACCAAACTGAACACTGACGGTGAAGTTGGTCTGTCGACTAGACAGCGCATTAATCCGATGTTACTTTTTACACAGGGAAGGTAAATTAACTTTTGTAGGATGGTAAACTCAACTGATTTCATTAGGTATATTTACTTGTGGCACAGGGAAGGAGAAGGGGGAACATGATCTTGGATCTGCCAAAGAGCGACACTGACCCACTTCTCTGAGAAAGCGGGAACTCCCTTTTATCTGCAAGGCTGATTTAAAATAAGACCCTGTTGAAAGAAGTCAGGAGGTCTGTCAGTTTCAGAAGGTATCCCCTGTCTCCTCTACCATCTCTAACTCTGGCCCCTGTGCTCCTGAATCTCGTTCCAAGTGGGTGTTGCCAGATTTGGCCCAGAAGCCCTCAGGGGTGGGTCACTTAGGGGTGAGGAGTGCTTCTGGCCGTGGTCACCGGGAGGCAGAGACATAGGGCCCTTGGACAGAGACCACAAAGGCCCTGGAACCTCTCAGAACCATAGCAGACAGTGTTTTGCCATGAAAAGAAACCCAAAGTGAGAACACTCAGCTCTTCAGGATAAATGATCAGGCCCACAGACCTCTTAAAAACAGGCCACATGTTCCTGGGGCGCTACTTGGCCCCGGCCACGTTGCTGGACCGTAGGCGATACTGATCCACGCTCCCTTTCCGCCGACTCCCGGTCCGCCTCTCGTTGTCGAACATGCGCTGCAGCTGCAGGGCCAGGCGCCGGTCCTCCTCCTCCTGCTGCAGCTTCTGCTCCATCTCCCGCAGGCCCGGGGCCCGGGCGGCCGGGCCCGCCTCCCCACCGCTCTGCCGCAGCTTCTTAAGGGAGCCGTTTTGTTCCAAGTGCTTGGTCTTACAGTGCCTTTTCCGGCCCCGGCGCAAGGAAGGAAGGGGCTCCTCACCTAGGCTGTCCGCCAGCACACCGTTGGGCAGATCAAAAGGATTCGCCGTCTTCAGCTGCTTCTTCGCTTTGAGGACCCCGCCCAGAACACTGTTTTTGGGCAGCACTGAATTGGCCACTGGGATGTTCACGGTTGTGCTCGTACAGGTTTTGTCTAACTTGGCCTCAGGGGTGCGCCCCGGCCCTTCCTCCTGCTCCTTCTCCGAGGAAGTCCCACTGGCTCCCCCTCGGGGTTCTGAAGAGCAGCACGTTTCCGATGGGATCTCAGGGCTCCTTTTACTCGCGCTGCCCTGCTCGCCTTTAGTTTGGCTAATGGAGGGGACATAATCGAGGTCGGTGGGGGTGGGTCCGGCGCACGCAGAGAGGGCCTGACCCCCCGCCAGTCTTGTCTGTAAAGCCAGCAGCGGCTTTTCCTTGCTAGGATGGGTCACCTCGGACACTACTAAGTCTTCCCCTGTTTCTGGAGCCAGGGAGGTGAGGGTGGCTTTCGAAAGGGTCTTTTTGATCTGCCGCTCCTGAAAGATCTGTTCCCACTTTTTGAGGATCCTGGGACTAGCCTCGTAAGAAGTCTGCTTCTGCAGGCTTCTGTTGAGGTTGCGGGGTGTTGATTTGATGATGAGGGGACTGAGCACTCGGCCATCGGGGAGTCTCTTGGGAGGAGTACACGGTGAGCAGACAATGGGCTTGAAATGGTTTAGTTCCTCGGAGATGCTATCATTGCTCTCCGGACTGATGGAGCGTTCTGGCTTATGCAGGGAAGCCAAGGATGAGAGGGAGCTGAAGGGGAGACGTTTTTCGACCGTTAAGTCAGGGGCTGAGAGGCAACGGTTGTTCTGGGTGGACAGGAGGACGCCGATGATGGGGTTGGAGGCTGGGGCCATAGCCGTAACCTAAAAGAGGTTAAAAAGATTCTATAGACATACATATAGACATATTTTTTTCTCTTCACAGTTCCTTCAAGATGGTAGAAGGATAGCAGGGGAAGGCTAAGAAAAGGGATCAAGGGTGATGGGAGCCTAAGAAATGGGAAAATCCCTAACCTAGAATGCACACCATCTGCAGAAATTCCTACACACCTGAAACAATTAATAAAATTGAAAACCTATAGGGAATAAGACTGATAAATCACTGAACTCTATCTCTGAAACTAGTAACACACTACATGTTAATTAACTGAATTTAATTTTAAAAGAAAGAGAAAGAATAGGAAGGGAACAGAAGGGAAAAGAAAAAAAAGAAAAAAGAAAAAAAGGAAAGGAAAGGAAAAGAAAACCTATAGGGGAAAAAAAACTAATCTAGAACTTTCAAAGAAGTTCTTCTACTGGTCCTCATTCCACCCTTCGCTACTAATTCAAACTCTTCCTTCACATCTATTTGCAAACTTCTCCAACATAATTAGAATGCCTCGGACCCACTGTGCCTCTGCCCATCTGGAATAGTTCCTTTTATGGCCGTGTGCAAGGAGCCACCGGATGGGCGCGGAGGGCTCCAGAAGCCCATGTCTGAGGTGTACCTTGGTTTTGCTGGTCGGGGCTGCTCTGAGTCTGCTCTTCACTCTGTCTTGAGCAGTGTCACTGCAGCTCTGACTCCTTTCCACCTTGGAATTCAGGTTCCTAAATAAGTAAACACAAGTCCAAGAGTCAAAAGTAGCCCATATACCAACTAAGGAAAAAGAATGACAATCTCTTCTGTACTTTCAAAGCCACCTGCCAAGAAAGACGATTCCCCTGGGCAGCTACAATAGGAAATGAATTAGTTTATTAACAAAACACGTTCTAAGAACAAATCCTGTCAAAAGAGGAAAAGTGCTCCAGAGAGGACATCTGGTTTAAGCCTTTGTTTCCAAACTAGACCCTGCTTAAATGATAAAAGGCCAATGGCTGTTTCACTCATGCTTAGAGAGATGTAGGCATAATTCACCTTCTTTAATAGGTTGGATCCAGTGTTAAAATCCCCTTTACAAACAACAAATTTTTTCCTTTTATTAGGCCCAAATGTCTCCTCAAGTAATCTAAGTCAGCCATGAAACAAAAGGACTTCCGAAATACATAGCAGTGCACTCAATTTTTATGTAGGGAGTCAAAATTAAATGCAGTCTCTTCCTTAACTCATTACATTTGAGTTTCCAAAGGCCTAAATCCTGGTAATTTAAGAGATTTCAGGAACACATGGTTTTTTTGTTTATGCATGCAACATTATAACTTTATAACCCAATCCAAACCCACAGTACCCATATGATAGCATTAATCTTACTGTGTAAGAATTATATGCAGGTGACTGTTACCTACCCCATTGACAAGGGGGTCTGTAGGAATTTTTTTTTTGAATTTGTGATTATCTTATTATTCACCTTGGTTTCCTACTCTCCAATTTGTGCCTAATACACGTCCAGTGAGAACAATGCTTTTACCAATGTGTACAGCTGTTACTTTACCTTTGCTGCAACTCTATTCAACAAGCATTTATCACACACTTACTATATGCCAGTTACTGAGGAGCACCATCTGGGCACTGGCAATATGGAGAAAAATGAGACGTAGTTTAGGGTCTTCAAGGAATCAGAGTCCAGCGGGGCAGACAAATAAATAATTCAATATAATACAGTGAAATGGTACAATAACAAAAAAGTATGTCTAGGAGACAGTATGGCATAAAAGAGGGAGTTATGAATTACCTGGGATGGAGTGAGAGCAGGGTTGGAAAAGCCTCCCCGTGGCACATGTAGTTTGAAGGGTAAATAAGAATTTGCCAGAAGTCAAGGTGGATGTGGATGATCCCAAGCAGAAATTATTTCCTTGAATGATTCTCTTTAGCTTTAGAATGAAATACATCATCATAGCTACTCTTTTGTAGTAAAAGATTTACTTTTTTTTTAAATTTTTATTTTTTAAGGATTTTATTTATTTATTTGACAGAGAGAGAGAGAGTGCGCACAAGTAGGCAGAGTGCAGGCAGAGGGAGAAGCAGACTCCCTGCTGAGCAGGGAGCCCGATGTGGGACTTGATCCCAGGACTCTGGGATCACAACCTGAGCTGAAGGCAGACGCTTAACTGACCGAGACACCCAGGCGCCCCAAGATTTACTTTTTTTTTTTTTTAAGACTTTATTTATTTGCGAGAGAGACAATGAGAGACAGAGAGCATGAGAGGGAGGAGGGTCAGAGGGAGAAGCAGACTCCCCGCCGAGCAGGGAGCCCGATGCGGGACTTGATCCCAGGACTCCAGGATCATGACCTGAGCCGAAGGCAGTCGCTTAACCAACTGAGCCACCCAGGCGCCCAAGATTTACTTTTTTTAAAGTTTCACTATGCCAGGATTAGCTCAGAAAACTTACAAAGGAGGAAACAAGGTGCATTTCCAGGGTGTCTCTCCTCTCCCCACATCTCTAGCAAAGGCCTGTCCTACCTGCCCACAGTGGCTTCTAATCCAACATTTCTGTGCTATTTTTCCCATTCAAAACCCTCTCATCCTATGTCTCCTGGCCACATCACTTTGCTATATGGTTCCAGTCTGCTGATCTAATCTATGCCCCAGTATCAAGAGAATACGGTGGCCAACCTGCATCATATGTCTGAACTTGACCAAGAAAACTCAACACTGAACCTAAGCAAATAATGTGAGCATTGTACTATCTAGTGGGAAATGTATTTTGGAATAGTTCAGAAACTTCAACATAACTCTCTAAAGGCAGCTGCTTAAAAATCAGCTTGGTTTGTATTTTACCTGGAATAGTACTGAAATTCATTGGCATTTCCAGAACTCACACAAACTGTCAGTGTAGTAAACCACCCAGAAGTAAACTGGATGACAGATTAAAATGCTGGCGTGAACAACATATACTTTGGGTCAGGAGGAATCAACATAGGGCTGAAAGAGAAAGCCTTACTATTTCAAATGTATGACTTGTTTGGCATCATTCCTTGGAGAAACAGTAGACACTTAGAGAAAAAGATTTTCTGATCAACATAAGAAAGAACTTTATAACTTTCATTAGAGCAGTTCACGGATAGCTGCCTTGGGAGATACTGAGCTCCATGTCATTAGAGGTGTTCAAACTGAGGCTGTACCTATATACTTCAAGGTCCAAATATTCCATAATTAAGAATGAGCTTAATACAATTTTTTTTAAGATTTTATTTATTTATTTGAGAGAGAGACTGAGATAGAGAGAGCATGAGAGGGGGGAGGGTCAGAGGGAGAAGCAGACCCCCCGCCGAGCAGGGAGCCCGATGCAGGACTCGATCCCGGGACTCCAGGATCATGACCTGAGCCGAAGGTAGTCGCTTAACCAACTGAGCCACCCATGCGCCCGAGCTTAATACAATTTTTAAAAACAGGCTACATATCCATATTGGCAGCAGTAGCAGAGTCAAATTTAAAGATGCTGGCTACATGCCCAAATTATCAGATGTTCAAATAGCAGTTACCTATTGCTGGGGAGAACCTCTTCACATGGCCCCTAAACTCCATTTTGGAGAAATGAAAGGAGAAAGGAAAGGCCCGGAGAGGAAACCTGTACTTGCAGACTGGAGCACACAACAAAGACACCCAAAGTAGTTTCTGACCATTTAAAATCTTTTTGGCAAACCGTGGTATGGCTGACACTGTCACTGTCTCTTCCATTCGCTTGGTCAGCCGACTCTACTGAGCACCAACTCCATGCAAAGCATGCGAGACAGACTGATGAAAGATAATCTTGGCCCACGGGAGCAGCCAGTCACTGAAGTCCACCATACATGTCACAGAAGTGCTATGAGAGCAGTAATTGTACAGCTAAACTCTCCAAGCGTTTCCTTCTAAGAGCTGTATAGTTTTAGCCCTTACATTTAGGTATCTGATCCAATTTGACTTCTCTGTTGTATTTGGTGTGAGGTTGGGGTCCAACTTCATTCTTTATTTAGCATGTGGATATCCAGTTGTGGTCCCAGCACCCGATGTGAAGAGACTATTCTTTCCCCCACTGAATAGTTTCTTGGTACCCTTATTGAAAATCAACTGACATATGGGTTTATTTCTGGACCCCCAATTCTGTTCCACTGACTGATATATCTACCCCTATTTCAGTATCACACTTGATTGCTTTGCCGTAAATTTTGAAATCAGGAAGTGTGACTCCTCTACTCTTGATCTTTTTCAAGATTGTTTTGGCTGTTTGAGATCCTCTGCAATTCCATATGTGAATTTTCGTATCAGCTTGCTCATTTCTGCAAAAAAGGAGACTGTAATTTTAATAGGTATTGCAGTGAATCTGGAAAACAAGTTGGGGAATATTGCCATCTTTATTTTTTTTATTTTTTTATTTTTTTAAGATTTTATTTATTTATTTGACAGAGAGAGATAGCGAGAGCAGGAACACAAGCAGGGGGAGTGGGAGAATGAGAAGCAGGCTTCCAGTGGAGCAGGGAGCCCAATGCAGGGCTTGATCCCAGGACCCTGGGATCATGACCTGAGCCGAAGGCAGATGCTTAACAACTGAGCCACCCAGGCGCCGCCAAGGGAAATACTGCCGTCTTAACAATGTTAAGTCTTCTAATCCATGAACACAGAAGGTCTTTCCCTTCATTTAAGTCTTCTTCAACTATTTCAACAATGTTTTGCAGTTTTCAGTGTGTAAGTCTTACACCTCCTTGGTTAAAATTATTCATAACTGTTCTATTCTTTTTGATGCTATTGTCAATGGAACTGCTTTCCTAATTACATTTTCGGATTGCTCATTGCTAATAGTATAGAAATGTAACTGATTTTCATGTGGTGATCTTGTGTTTTGCAACTTTGCTAAATTTATTAGCTTTAGTTTTTTCAAAATTCTATTATTTTTAGGATTTCCTTTGAATAATATCATGTCATCTGTGAACTGAGATAGTTTTACTTCTTCCTTTGCAATCTGGATGCTTTTTCTTTTTTTCCAGCTTTATGAGATATAATTGACATATAATATTGTATACACGTAAAGTGTACAATGTGTTGTTCTGATATACTCATGTATTTTGAGATGATTACCATAGTAGGGTTAACACCTCATATAATTACCGTCTCTTTTTTGTGCTGAGATCATTTGACTTCCAAGTATCCTTGAAAGCAGCGTTCAAGTATATAATACAGTATTGTTAACTATAATTACCATGCTGCGCGTAAGATGCCCAGAACTTACAACTGGAAGTTTGAATCCTTTGACCAACATCTCCCCATTTCCTCCACCCTCTGGCAACCATGTTTCTCCCTTCTGTTTTTAATATTTGGATTTTTTAAGATTCCACATGTAAGTGATATCGTACAGTGTGCATCTTCTCTCTTATTTCACTTAGCATAATGTCCTCAAGGTCCATCCGTGTTGCTGCAAATGGCAGAATTTCCTTCTTTCTCATAGCTGAATAATATTCCACTGTGTGTGTGTGTGTGTGTGTGTGTGGACACCACATTTTCCTTATCTATCCATCCACAGAAGGACACTTCGAGTGTTTCCATAGCTTAGCTATTGTGAATAATGTTGCAATTAACACGGGAGTGCATATAGCTCTTGGAGATCCTAATTTCATTCCTTTGGATATATACCCAGAAGTGGGATTGCTGGATTTTCATTTTTTGAGGAAACTCCATACTGTTTTCCATACTGG